GTAAGGGTTGTGGTTAGGGTTTGGTAAGGGTTGAGGTTATTTTATTATTTTTTATTTTTTAGGGGGTAGATCAGCTTTAATATTTCAGATAGATTGTAACTTCCATCAATGTAATTGTCTGCATTACTTCCAATCCCCCATATGTTTTTTTCCCTCGCAAATATACATATATAAATATACATATATACACATATACACACACATACATACATCCATACACACACACATATCCTTTTATAAATTATATTTCCCTTCATTACCTTCCAACCCCACCACCCCTTCCCCAATTGGAGTAAACTAGTGAACAACAACGCTTAGGCCTCTACTTTGTCACGTTCGTTGAGTACAGGATTGGACCAAGTTGCAGCGTGGTATGCGTACATATAATAATAATAATAAATAATATGCCATTTAGCAGACGCTTTTATCCAAAGCGACTTATAGTCATATGTGCATACATTTTTACGTATGGGTGGTCCCGGGGATCGAACCCACTACCCTGGCGTTACAAGCGCCAAGCTCTACCAATTGAGCTACAGAGGACCACATGTTCGTTTATTGAATAAACACCGAACAAAACAACAAAAGCAACGTAACGTGAAGTTCTAAAGGCTTACATCAAACAAGCCAAACACACAGAAACAAGATCCCACAACATACAGTGAGGGAAAAAACTATTTGATCCCCTGCTGATTTTGTACATTTGCCCACTGACAAAGAAATGATCAGTCTATAATTTTAATGGTAGATTTATTTGAACAGTGAGAGACAGAATAACAACAAAAAAATCCAGAAAAACGCATTTAGAAATTTTATAAATTGATTTGCATTTTAATGAAGGAAATAAGTGTTTGACCCCCTCTCAATCAGAAAGATTTCTGGCTCCCAGGTGTCTTTTATACAGGTAACGAGCTGAGATTAGGAGCACACTCTTAAAGGGAGTGCTCCTAATCTCAGCTTGTTACCTGTATAAAAGACACCTGTCCACAGAAGCAATCAAGCAATCAGATTCCAAACTCTCCACCATGGCCAAGACCAAAGAGCTCTCCAAGGATGTCAGGGACAAGATTGTAGACCTACACAAGAATGGAATGGGCTACAAGACCATCGCCAAGCAGCTTAGTGAGAAGGTGACAACAGTTGGTGTGATTATTCGCAAATGGAAGAATCACAAAATAACTGTCAATCTGGCATGGGGCATGGGGCCCCATGCAAGATCTCACCTCGTGGCGTTGCAATGATCATGAGAACGGTGAGGAATCAGCCCAGAACTACACGGGAGGATCTTGTCAATGATCTCAAGGCAGCTGGGACCATAGTCACCAAGAAAACAATTGGTAACACACTACGCCGTGAAGGACTGAAATCCTGCGGCGCCCGCAAGGTCCCCCTGCTCAAGAAAGCACATATACAGGCCCGTCTGAAGTTTGCCAATGAACAGCTGAATGATTCAGAGGAGAACTGGGTGAAAGTGTTGTGGTCAGATGAGACCAAAATGGAGCTCTTTGGCATCAACTCAACTCGCCGTGTTGGAGGAGGAGGAATGCTGCCTATGACCCCAAGAATACCATCCCCACCGTCAAACATGGAGGTGGAAACATTATGCTTTGGGTGTGTTTTTCTGCTAAGGGGACAGGACAACTTCACCGCATCAAAGGGACGATGGACGGGGCCATGTACCATCAAATCTTGGGTGAGAACCTCCGTCCCTCAGCCAGGGCATTGAAAATGGGTCGTGGATGGGTATTCCAGCATGACAATGACCCAAAACACACGGCCATGGCAACAAAGGAGTGGCTCAAGAAGAGGCACATTAAGGTCCCGGAGTGGCCTAGCCAGTCTCCAGACCTGAATCCCATAGAAAATCTGTGGAGGGAGCTGAAGGTTCGAGTTGCCAAACGTCGGCCTCGAAACCTTAATGACTTGGAGAAGATCTGCAAAGAGGAGTGGGACAAAATCCCTCCTGAGATGTGTGCAAACCTGGTGGCCAACTACAAGAAACGTCTGACCTCTGTGATTGCCAACAAGGGTTTTGCCACCTAGTACTAAGTCATGTTTTGCAGAGGGGTCAAATACTTATTTCCCTCATTAAAATGCAAATCAATTTATAACATTTTTGACACGCGTTTTTCTGGATTTTTTTGTTGTTATTCTGTCTCTCACTGTTCAAATAAACCTACCATTAAAATTATAGACTGATCATGTCTTTGTCAGTGGGCAAATGTACAAAATCAGTAGGGAATCAAATACTTTTTTCCCTCACTGTAGGTAGGCAACATGGCTGCCTAAGTATGATCCCCAATCAGAGACAACGATCGACAGCTGCCTCTGATTGGGAACCACACCCGGCCAACATAGATCTACAATATCTAGATCTTACACATAGAAATTCACACCCTGACCAAACCAACTAAAGAAAACCGGGCTCTCAAGGCCAGGGCGTTGCAAACCCCGAGAGAGTTGCCTCTCGGGCTTCCTTAGCGGTCGGCACCGTTGGCGTCGCCATTGATCCTCTCCTACCTGGGCTTCTACCTTCGCCCAGGGTCCTTTACCAGAAAATATCTCCTCCCCAGACCACATCTTCCCCACCTGTGTCCAGGGTGTTTGCTCCTCCTGGACACGCTGCTTGGTCCGTTGGTGGTGGGATCTTCTGTCACGCTCGTTGAGTACAGGATTGGACCAAGGTGCAGCGTGGTATGCGTACATGTTCGTTTATTGAATAAACACTGAACAAAAACAACAAAAGCAACGTAACGGGAGGTTCTAAAGGCTAACATCAAACAAGCCAAACACACAGAAACAAGATCCCACAACATAAGTAGGCAACATGGCTGCCTAAGTATGATCCCCAATCAGAGACAACGATCAACAGCTGCCTCTGACTGGGAACCACACCCGGCCAACATAGATCTACAATATCTAGATCTTACACATAGGAATTCACACCCTGACCAAACCAACTAAAGAAAACCGGGCTCTCAAGGCCAGGGCGTGACATACTTCCAGCCCATACATACTATATACATTTTATGGACACAGTCAAATTCTACAATATTATATTATCATGATGTCCATCTGGTTTTCTTCTATATGTCATATTTTTCTAACTGTGCTCTTTCACAAAAGCTCTCAACCGATAACCTATATACTTATTATGGACACAGTATGCTTTACATTAGTTATCTTGTTGTTATTAGTTGTTGTTATTAGTCCCATCCTTCAGCTTCATTCAACATCTCCCATCTATCTCTTAACACCATCCATATTGGATTTATATTTGCCATATAATTTTCAACTGTACTGTGATGTTTTACAAAAGTTCTGAACCTTTCTATTGTCATTGTTTCTACAGATCGTAAATTGAAAATATTTTTTTTTGCTAAAAGTATTATTATATTATTGATCGATTGACTATGACTTTTCAGATCACCCAGTAGTGCTATCTGCAGGGTTAGCTCCAGGTAAATATTGCAATCATTTAGCCATTCTTCGCAGCAAAATCTGCAGAGCTGGGAAGATTGTATCCCCCATATAAATAACATTCTATTGGTAGCAAGAATTTTGTATAAGAATTTAAATTGAAACATTGTAAGTTTTGAATCCGGCATCGTTTCAGTTCATAAACACTATGCCATGGAATCGGTACGTCAAAAATCTCTTCCCAACTATTTTGCAATCTATATGGGATGGCTGTCAATCCTTTGGTCCTTAAATGAAACTGGTATACTTTTTTATTTATCACAATTTTCTTTAACCAATTATATTCTTTAATACAAAGCTGACAGACAAGTTCCTTACTTTTTCCCCCTTCCACTTTCCTTTTCCATTTTTGCGGTAATGCTGCAATTATTTGGTTGTAATTTTGGGTAGAGCAGACATTTCCATATGTTTCTGTTAGCTGCATGTGCGACATAACTCCACCAGTCCTACCGATAATATCACTTACGAAGATTATACCTTTTTTACATTTATAACATTTTGTCAATTTTTTTTAGTTTTTTATCAATTAGTATATTTTAGTTTAACCACAATATTTGTTGCATTATTTGTTCTGTCGTTTTTGGAGGATTAAATTGAAATTGCAACCAACTTTCTATGGCTTGTTTTAGAAATAGTGATATTTGGGAGATTATTTCCTTTTCAAATAACTGAAAGTGAGAGGTTGTAATCTGAATAAAGGGAAAAAGGCCATTCTTGAACATTGGGTGAGACAATTTTACTAATTTGCTATAGAACCAGTTCGGATTATTAAAGTATAACTTTTGTATGACTGAAGCTTTTAGTGATAGGTCTAATGCTTTAATATTTAATCATTTCTGTCCTCCGAATTCATATTCATTATATAAATAGGCCCGTTTAATTTTGTCTGGCTTGCCGTTCCAAATAAAATGGAATATTATTTTCTCATTAAGGTTAGGGTTTAGGGAAGGGAATTTCCCAAGGATCCCAGATAGCACTAACCCAGCGAAATTGAATTCAGGATGAATCATCAGGCAAATAGTCTGGCGATGTACACAGGCCAATGTGCAGCCTACTTTTTAAACACAGGTGTGCATGTTTTTGGCTTAGACTGGGGCACAGACTGAACTACAGACACAATCTAATTTCATACATCTAAATCAACACAAGTACAACATGATTTATGAGACAGGTATCACCGTTTTTTATGACTGGCATGGTTTACTCCACATTTCACGCGTCTCGATAATGAGGTAATGTAATGCTATTGATATAATGCTACTTGTTTGGACAATACAACTGAGGGATCATTTACTATATAAAAATGCTCATTTTTGTTACATTTAAGTCAGTGTATCCCCACTCTCAGAGACAAACAGACCTTGACTGACTCTCAAAAACTAAAAACATTAGAATCAATAATTGACATTGGAGGGGAAATAATTAATCGATAAATAAGTTATTTTACATATTAAGGGACACATTTTTTCAATGGCATTACAGGATCTGTGTTGTTTCAAGGACTATTTTCTTGACTCTAGATGGAATTTTTCAGCTTCACTTCGAATAGACCAGGAAAACACCTCCTTGCTTTTTGGGAAGAGAACCAGACATACAACAAGCAGTGGCTTATCGTAGAGCAACAGTGGAAGCCCACTGCATCTTTATATTGATACCTCAGTGAAAGCCCCAAAACAGTTTGGCCAAATCAACCATAACATTGCACCAAACCCCATCACGTCTGCCAACTGTGCCCTCTGGAGAAGGATTCTGGCTCTACCAGCTTCGCCACGTCAGGTGGCTGTCCAAAGCTGCTAACCCACATGCTGCACCCATTAAGGGCACTGAGCTGCGTGTGGTGGCCACTCTGTGTGGCTGGGATGGAGGACAGGTAGAGCAACGTCCTCTTGAGCATGGCAGCAGAGGGATGGATCAGGAGAACAGATCAATGATGGGGAGTGAAACAGATGATCGGGCAAAGACAGCTGCAAGTGAACCAATCTCTCAAGCAAAGGGACAGGATAAGAGGCAGTGCCTCTCACCAGCCATGAGTCACGTGCACAAGTACAGTGAAATGTCTGCTGGAGGAAGTGGTAGGCAGGTGCTCTCTGGCCCCAGCCTGTAATATGTCTGCAGTGACGGGACACGCCTGCAGGGAAAGCTGTTCTCTGTGGGCTCCGGCTCACCCTATGCCTACTCTGTGCTGGAGGAGGGGTACAGTGGGGGCTGGAGGAAGCACTCTCACTGGCCAGGGAGGCTGTGTACAGGGCCACACATAGAGACGTAAACTCTGGGAACTGTGTGGATGTGTACCATGTCACCTCACATGGATGAACTCGCAGGGACAGAGATGAGCTGAGAGAGCAGTATTACAGAGAGAAGGAGAGAGAAAGAGTGAAGGTGAAGGAGAGGAGGAACAGAGAGGAGGGGGGAAAGGATGAGGAGATTGGTAGTTAGGGTAATAAAGAAGGCTAGAGTGAGGAGAGAGAAGTTTAGCAGAAGAAAGAAAATAAGAGACGTATCTGGAGCCAATAATTGTAGCCTTTTAGAGTATTACTTAAATGAAATGTTAGCCTACATTAATATTAATCATTTTTATAAACATCAGAGGTCATGTTTTCATTTACCTTAAAACCCAGTGGACCAGCTTGAAAGCCTGAGACTCCCCTCTGTTCATAATAACTACATTATTCACATTATGTAACCTAGGAAATAATATTTTAGACTTAGTGTCTTAGATTAGCTAGAAGTACTTGATTTACAAATCAGTCTCAGACAACAATGACATAGAGTTAAGAAAATATTTTATTTCTGAGAAGTCATCAGATTGATAATTTCAGAGAATTGATAAGTCTCTGGACTGGAAGCTTCAATGCAATATGTCCTTGGACTGCAGAAAGGAAGTTGGGCCACAAGCACAACCTGGTAATCGGATGTCCCTGGACTGCAGAAAGGAAGTTAGGCCACAACCTGGTCCTCGGATGTCCCTGGACTGCAGAAAGGAAGTTGGGCCACAAGCACAACCTGGTCCTCAGATGTCCCTGGACTGCAGAAAGGAAGTTGGGCCACAAGCACAACCTGGTCCTCGGATGTCCCTGGACTGCAGAAAAGACGTTGGGCCACAACCTGGTCCTCGGATGTCCCTGGACTGGAGAGCAGAAGTTGGGCCACAACCTGGTCCTCGGATGTCCCTGGACTGCAGAGCAGAAGTTGGGCCACATTCCTCTTCATAGTGAAAATTGTAAATGAAGTTCTTGGAATGACAAGTTTCTTGTCTTTAGAAAATTACACCTTAGCAGTATAATTGCCAGAGACCAACACTGCTTTAATGTCATTATTATGTCCAGACAGATATCTTCAGTAATAGAAAAACTACATGTATTTGTCTCAACAAATAATAAATATGTATCTTGTAGGCTAACACTGCATGTCCATCATTGTGAACCATCACATTTTAAAGGGTTTTTCTTTATCATATGTAAACAAATGTTTACATAAGTCCATAGTGAACTTTTGTAATCGATATTGCGAAGGCGATAATGAACTATAGTGAGACCATCTCGAGGAAAACTGACCGAAGTGCAAAACTGCAAATCAGTGATATATTTCCTTTACCGGCAAAACTCTTTTGATAACAACGGAAGTGGTGCTATCATCATTCTTAGTTCAAAGATGGCTCTTGCTCATGTGTTGCAAAGTGAGTCAGTAGATTTTTCAAACTATGGTCACCAGCGTCTGGAAACAATAGAACACTATGAAAAATCTGGGAAACCAGGCCTGCTATTCATAGCAGACTTTGAAAAGGCATTTGATAAAGTACGACTGGAGTTTATATATAAATGCCTGGAGCATTTTAATTTTGGAGAATCTCTAATTAAATGGGTTAAAATCATGTACATTTACATTTAAGTCATTTAGCAGATGCTCTTATCCAGAGCGACTTACAAATTGGTGCATTCACCCTATAGCCAGTGGGTTAACCACTTTACAATAATTTTTTTTTTTTTTTTTTTTGGGGGGGGGGGGGGGGCGGGGGGTAGAAGGATTACTTCATCCTATCCCAGGTATTCCTTAAAGAGGTTGGGTTTCAAATGTCTCCGGAAGGTGGTGAGTGACTCCGCTGTCCTGGCGTCGTGAGGGAGCTTGTTCCACCATTGGGGTGCCAGAGCAGCGAACAGTTTTGACTGGGCTGAGCGGGAACTATGCTTCCGCAGAGGAAGGGGAGCCAGCAGGCCAGAGGTGGATGAACGCAACGCCCTCGTTTGGATGTAGGGACTGATCCGAGCCTGAAGGTACGGAGGTGCTGTTCCCCTCACTGCTCCATAGGCAAGCACCATGGTCTTGTAACGGATGCGAGCTTCAACTGGAAGCCAGTGGAGTGTGCGGAGGAGGGGGGTGACGTGAGAGAACTTGGGAAGGTTGAACACCAGATGGGCTGCGGCATTCTGGATGAGTTGTAGGGGTTTAATGGCACAGGCAGGGAGCCCAGCCAACAGCGAGTTGCAGTAATCCAGACGGGAGATGACAAGTGCCTGGATTAGGACCTGTGCCGCTTCCTGTGTAAGGCAGGGTCGTACTCTCCGAATGTTGTAGAGCATGAACCTGCAGGATCGGGTCACCGCCTTGATGTTAGCGGAGAACGACAGGGTGTTGTCCAGGGTCACCCCAAGGCTCTTCGCACTCTGAGAGGAGGACACAATGGAGTTGTCAACCGTGATGGCGAGATCATGGAACGGGCAGTCCTTCCCCGGGAGGAAGAGCAGCTCCGTCTTGCCAGGGTTCAGCTTGAGGTGGTGATCCGTCATCCATACTGATATGTCGGCCAGACATGCAGAGATGCGATTCGCCACCTGGTTATCAGAAGGGGGAAAGGAGAAGATTAGTTGTGTATCGTCAGCGTAGCAATGATAGGAGAGGCCATGTGAGGATATGACAGAGCCAAGTGACTTGGTGTATAGGGAGAAAAGGAGAGGGCCTAGAACTGAGCCCTGGGGGACACCAGTGGTGAGAGCACGTGGTGCGGAGACAGCTTCTCGCCACGCCACTTGGTAGGAGCGACCGGTCAGGTAGGACGCAATCCAGGAGTGAGCCGCGCCGGAGATGCCCAGCTCGGAGAGGGTGGAGAGGAGGATCTGATGGTTCACAGTATCAAAGGCAGCAGACAGGTCTAGAAGGACAAGAGCAGAGGAGAGAGAGTTAGCTTTAGCAGTGCGGAGAGCCTTCGTGACACAGAGAAGAGCAGTCTCAGTTGAATGACCAGTCCTGAAACCTGACTGGTTTGGATCAAGAAGGTCATTCTGAGAGAGATAGCAAGAGAGTTGGCTAAAGACGGCACGCTCAATAGTTTTGGAAAGAAAAGAAAGAAGGGATACTGGTCTGTAGTTGTTGACATCAGTGGGATCGAGTGTTGGTTTTTTGAGAAGGGGTGCAACTCTCGCTCTCTTGAAGACGGAAGGGACATGGCCAGCAGTCAAGGATGAGTTGATCAGCGAGGTGAGGTAGGGGAGAAGGTCACCGGAGATGGTCTGGAGAAGAGAGGAGGGGATGGGGTCAAGCGGGCAGGTTGTTGGGCGGCCTGCAGTCACTAGTCGCAAGATTTTATCTGGAGAGAGAGGGGAGAAAGAAGTCAAAGCATAGGGTAGGGCAGTGTGAGCAGGACCAGCAGTGTCATTAGACTTAACAAACGAGGATCGGATGTCGTCAACCTTCTTTTCAAAGTGGTTGACGAAGTCATCCACAGAGAGGGAGGAGGAGGGGGGGTGGGGGGGAGGATTCAGCAGTGAGGAGAATGTGGCAAAGAGCTTCCTAGGGTTAGAGGCAGATGCTTGGAATTTAGAGTGGTAGAAAGTGGCCTTAGCAGCAGAAACAGATGAAGAAAATGTAGAGAGGAGGGAGTGAAAAGATGCCAGGTCGGCAGGGAGTTTAGTTTTCTTCCATTTCCGCTCCCACGCGGTGTGAGGCGTTTGTGTAGCCTGTGCGGAGAGGAGAGAACAGGGATAGGCAGAGGCAGAGTTGACAGGCTGCAGCAGATGGCTACAATAATGCAGAGGAGATCGGAATGAAATGAACTAAACATCTGGGAAAGGAGAGAGCAGGCCTCCCTCACCAAAAAAATATAACTCTCCCAACTTCCACCTCAGAAACTATAATTGTTTCACTGAACCACCCGAATAAAACTCTCCCAACTTCCACTTTAGAAATTAGAATTGTTGTAAACTACAGCGGTTCAATGTTTCAATGAATAGACTCAACTTACTTTATTCAGCTAGCTAACTATGACGCCATAGCTAACTAGCATGCTAGCATCCAATAACACACAGTTTAGCACCAATACTTGGTTACAACAAACTACCAATAGTGTGTGAACACACTAAACAGATAATTCGTGTCCGTGTCTAGTTCTTTCATAACGCAGCAATTATTAAACGTTGGCTAGCTAGCACAAAGATATTGTATTTAGCTACTACAGTACAGCCAGCTGGTAGTGTTGGCTAGCTAGCAATGGCTGCTGTGTTGACTTTGTTTGAAAAAACGGCGTCGCTGCGAACGAATGTAGCTGGCTAAAAGGATATTGTTTTTAGTTGCTACCGTTGCTAATAGCTACTCGCCAGCTAATCCAGGAGGTGAGTTAGCTAGCTAGCTTCGTGCTACACCTGGCACCGCCGACTACAAAAGTAACCTACAATAACTACACAACAACTACCCACAACAGCCCACGATGCCTACCTATACTACTTAATAATATACAGCCCACGATGCCTACCTATAATACCTAACTACAATCTAAATACATAGTTTAAGCCTTACTCGACAAAGCCCAAGCTATGTATAAAGCCAAACTGGCAGACTGCAATCAGTAGCTGTAATTAAGTACAGCAGCTACCAACCACCTAACGTTAATGCCTCGGATAATGAGGTTAGAAAAACAGCTGAATGGTGGCAGCTAGCTGGCTCAATCACAGGTACTCTTAAGCGTGAAATAACATTGGAAACAACTAACCACAGTTGCTAAAAGTTACCAGTAGCTACCCGCTAGCTAGCTAGCTAGCTTTGTTGGTCCAAGTAGTGGGTAGGCTAGCCTCGTGCTTCGCCGGGGTCCGCCGAATACAATACTTACCTACAATAATTACCTACAATAACCTACAATAACTACCTGAGTAAACTACCTATAATACCTAACTACAATACCTACCTACAATCTAAATACATGGTTTAAGCTTTACTCAACACCATATAAGAAGCCAAGCTTACCTCCTGCTAGAGAAAACACAACCTCTCCCGACAACCGTTCAATTTATAGTAACCTTAGGTGTAAAATAGTAAATAATGGCTATTATCAAGGGATTAGAAATCCAGGGCTTAAAAACAAATGTGTCATTGTACGCTGATGATTCATGTTTTCGTTTAAATCCACAACTTGAATCCTTCCACAGCCTCATAGAGGATCTAGATACATTTTCTAACATCTCTGAATTACAACCAAATTATGATAAATGTACAATATTACATATTGGATCACTAAAAAATACAATTTTCACATTACCATGTAGTTTACCAATATAATGGTCTGATGGTGATGTGGATATACTCGGAATACATATCCCAAATGAAATAAATGATCTCACTCCAATACAGTATGAAAAAATAAAAAATCATAATAAATGTATGCACTCACTAACTGTAAGTCGCTCTGGATAAGAGCGTCTGCTAAATGACTAAAATGTAAAATGTAATAAGATCTTGCTACCATGGAAAGGTAAATACCTGTCTATTTGTGGAAAAATCACCCTGATAAACTCTTTAGTATTATCCCAGTTTACCTATTTGCTTATGGTCTTGCCTACACCTAGTGAACAGTTTTTTTTTAATTATATGAGAAAAATATATTCCATTTTATTTGGAACGGCAAGCCAGACAAAATTAAACGGGCCTTTTTATATAATGAATATTAATTCGGAGGACAGAAATGATTAAATATTAAAGCATTAGACCTATCACTAAAAGCTTCAGTCATACAAAAGTTATACTTAAATCCGAACTGGTTCTCTAGCAAATTAGTAAAATTGTCTCACCCCATGTTCAACAACGGCCTTTTTCCCTTTATTCAGATTACAACCTCTCAATTTCAGTTATTTGAAAGGAAATAATCTCCCAAATATCACTATTTCTAAAACAAGCCATAGAAAGTTGGTTGCAATTTCAATTTAATCCTCCAAAAAAACGACAGAACAAATAATGCAACAAATATTGTGGTTAAACTCAAATATACTAATTGATTAAAAAAAACATTTTTTTTTTTTTAAATGTTTAAAAAAGGTATAATCTTCGTAAATTATATCATAGGTAGGACTGGTGGAGTTATGTCGCACATGCAGCTAACAGAAACATATGGAAATGTCTGCTCTACCCAAAATTTCAACCAAATAATTGCAGCATTGGAAGAGGAAAGTGGAAGGGGGAAAAAGTAAGGAACTTGTCTGTCGGCCCTGCATTAAAGAACATAATTGGTTAAAGAAAATTGTGATAAATAAAAAAGTATACCAGTTTCATTTAAGGACCAAAGGATTGACAGCCGTCCCATATAGATTGCATAGTTGGGAAGAGATTTTTGACGTACCGATTCCATGGCATAGTGTTTATGAACTGATACACAAAACGACGCCGGATTCAAAACTTAGAATATTTCAATTTAAATTATTATACAAAATTCGTGCTACCAATAGAATGTTATTTATATGGGGGATACAATCTTCCCAGCTCTGCAGATTTTGCTGCGAAGAGACAGAATCATTAGATCATTTGTTTTGGTACTGTCCATTTGTAGCTTGTTTTTGGTCACAGGTCCAGGAATGGCTAAAGGATTGCAATATTTACCTGGAGCTAACCCTGCAGATAGCATTACTGGGTGATCTGAAAAGTCATAGTCAATCGATCAATAATATAATAATACTTTTAGCAAAAATGTTTATTCTCAATTTACAATCTGTAGAGACAATGAGAATAGAAGGGTTCAGAACTTTTGTGAAACATCACAGTACAGTTGAAAAATATATGGCAAATAGAAATCCAATATGGATGGTGTTAAGCAATAGATGGGAGGTGTTGAATGGAGCTGAAGGGTGGGACTAATAACAACTAACAACAACTAATAACAACAAGATAACTAATGTAAAGCATACTGTGTCCATAATACGTATATAGGTTATAGGTTGAGAGCTTTTGTGAAAGAGCACAGTTAGAAAGATATGGCATATAGAAGCAAACCGGATGGACATCATGGAAATGATCGGAGAGGTTGAGGGTAGAGGAAGTTCAGAAGTAAAAACAAACAAAATATAATTATTGTAAAATTGACTGTGTCCATAAAATGTTTAAAAAGTGATGCAGACAATTACATTGATAGAAGTTACAATCTTTCTGCAATATTAAAGCTATTAGGCCTACTCACCAAACCGATGTCATGGCCATAATTCATCCCCATGCAGTGTTCAATGTAGAATTGTTAATCCATTTAGAAAATTCCAAGGAACCGGCATAATAAAATAAATAAAACGTCTGTATATCGAAAAGAAGACAGATTTTGGTTTGTAACCCTGAAAAATGTCTTTCAACTTGCCAAATTGAGCCCCGTTCCAAATGATCACTCTTTGAGAATAACTGTTCCAGATGTGAGATGCGAATCACTTCACACTATTCTGTTCTATTTTATTCTGTTATATTACATCATATTTATTTACTATAAAATGGGTGTCTTGACTGATAAGGGCTTCTAATAAAGGGCCACACTGCTGAGGTTACTACCTTTTTTGAAGATTGTGTTCCACAATATAATATAACCAGGTGATATTAGTTTCAATTAATGAATCTTAAATGGCACTTGTTTTTTTTATTGACTGAATGTATATGAGGCAATTAGGATTCGTTATCTGTAATGGTTATAAGTTAGGCATTGTTGCATACTGTACTCGAACAGTCAAAAAAAGTCAAAGGCCCATCCCTACACACATGGTTGTGTGAGCTGGATAGGGACACCATATAATCCATTCTATTACACACAGGGGACCAGCCCTGATATACTGTCCCTGGTCTCTATCAGGTCATGCTGTCCTAGACTGCAAAATTAGATAACTAGGGATCCGAATTTTGAATTGCACACATGTGAGCCACATAAATATTGCAGTAGCCTAAATGTAATATTTCCCATGATTTATGGCACATTCTTCCCCTTACCAAGGAGAGGTGCCTTTCCTCCCTATCACGCTGCATATTAAAGCTGTTGTGGCTCTGAGGAGTGCAGTATAGACTACAATAATAAGAGACGGGACACACCATAAGACCACAGAACATCAGCTGCGTGTCTCTCATGTATAAAAACAGAATATGCTTCTTTAGGGGTTCCTACACAATATCATATTTTTTATTGTCACGTTATCTCTAGTTAAACATGCAAAGAATGAAATGTATCTTACCCTTTGCTCACACCTTGTGCTCACGTCGCTCTGCTTCCTAAAAGAAGGCCCCTCCCCCAATTTATATCATACCAACTTCTGCACCTCATTGGATTGGGTACAGACATGTCATCACATTATTGTCATGTGTAGGAATACAAACAAAAAATATATGGGGGGGAGTGAGGGGCAAAACGTTTTTCTGTTGCCTGAGGGCAACAATGTACAGTAGAGGGTTAACATTTCACCTTCTAACCCTTCCAGGCCTCTACTACGTGGACTCTGAGGGGAACCGTGTCTGCGGGGACCTGTTTGCTGTGGGCTCTGGCTCCATGTACGCGTATGGCATCGTGGACAGTGGTCTGAAGCAGAAGGACCTGACTGTGGAGGAGGCCTGTGATCTGGACCGTAGGGCCATCTACCAGGCCACCTACTGTGACGCCTACAGTGGAGGACAGGTCAACCTGTACCACGTACACAGTGAGGGCTGGACCAGGATGTCCCAGTCGGATGTCTTAATGCTGCTCCAACAGTACCAGGCAGAGAAGGCATAGGAGAGGGAGGGGTAAAGAATGACAGCCCGGGGGACCATTCAATTTATAAAAAAGTGTTTACACACATCCAAATTTGGCACAGTATCTGGACTATTGAAAATGACCTTTAAAGAATATAAGTAACCTTGCTGTTACTACACGTTCCTTACTGTGCCTGGGATAAAGGGGTGTACCTTCTGGAAAACAGTGTGTGCAGCGTGTGCAGGCTTTTGTCCTAGCCCAGCACTTACACAACTGATCCAGCTGATCAAGGTCATGATCATTAGTGGAGACAGGTGTTAAAGTACTAGGCTGTACACGCTATGTCTCTCCAGGACCAATGGTAAAAAACACTGCTTTGAGTCATATCTCTAGCTCATTTCACAACCCTAACCCCATTGACATGGTCATGGTTCACTTACATTCTGGTCATCGTCGTCCCCCATCATGTGATCAGCCACGAAGCGGACCCCATCCACTGCATCCTGGACATCTCCCCCCCAGTCTGGGCTGCCTCTCTGGCGGAGGTCCTGGGAGGAGGGGAAGCTGTTGGGCAGGAACTCTGTGGAGCAGGCCTCCCCCTTCCTGAAGGTGTGTGTGTACCCCAGCGGAGCTGCGACTTTGTTGTAAAAGTGTCCCGGGGAGGAGAAGGCAGAGGCAGAGGAGAGGAAGGCAGAGGAGGAAGACATGGCGGCGGCAGCTTTGGCTGTTTTGGACGTGGCGGTGGCAGGGTAGCCCAGGTCCGCCAGGATGGACCTGCGAGCTTGGAGTCGTCTCTGCTGGCGCAGCCGCTGGCGGGCTGAGTTATTCAGGGGGCGTCTCATGAAGAGCAGATGGGGCAGCTTGTTGAGGAACACTACCTTGACCTTTTGACTGCTCTGTAAAGTTTTCAATAAATGTTCTCATTCATTCTCATCTTTCTAACTTGTGCTGTTTCTATTGGTAGCAGTGAATTGAACAGACCAGTCATAATTTAGAGATCCCATTATTGCCATGAAGGATTAGGCTAAAGGAGATGCACTACAGGACCAAAGGTATGTTCGTCCCCCCCTTTGCTGCTATAACAGCCTCCACTCTTCTGTGAAGGCTTTCCACTAGATGTTGGACAATGCTGCGGGGACTTGCTTCCATTCAGCCACAAGCATTAGTGAGGTCGGGCACTGATGTTGGGCGATCAGGACTGGCTAGCAGACGGCGTTCCAATTCATCCCAAAGGTGTTTGATGGAGTTGAGGCCAGTCAAGTTCTTCCACACCGAACTCGACAAACCATTTCAGTATGGTCCTCGCTTTATGCACGGGGGCATTGTCATGCTGAAACAGGAAAGGGCGTTCCTCAAACTGTAGTGTTAAGATTTCCCTTCACTGGCGCTAAAGGGCCTATCCCGAACCATGAACCATGAAAAACAGCCCCAGACCATTATTCCTCCTCCACCAAAACTTTACAGTTGGCACTATGCATTGGGGCAGGTAGCGTTCTCCTGGTATCCGCCAAATCCAGATTAGTCCGTCGGACTGCCAGATGGGGGAGCGTAATTCATCGCTCCAAAGAACGCATTTCCACTGCTCCAGAGTCCAATGGCGGTGAGCTTTACACTACTCCAGCCGACGCTTGGCATTGCTTATGGTGATTTTAGGCTTCTGTGCGGCTCCTCGGCCATGGAAACCCATTTCATGAAGCACCCGATGAGCAGTTATTGTGCTGATGTTGCTTCCAGAGGCAGTTTGGAACTCGGTAGTGAGTGTTGCAACTGAGAACAGACGATTTTTACCCGCTTCAGCACTCGGTGGTTCCCTTTTGTGAGCTTGTGTGGCCTACCACTTCGTGGCTGAGCCGTTATTGCTCCTATAAGTTTTCACTTCACAATAACAGCACTTACAGTTGATCAGGGCAGAAGTTTGATGAACTGACTTGTTGGAAAGGCAGCATCCTATGACCGTGCCACGTTGAAAGTCACTGAGCTCTTCAGTAAGGCCATTCTACTGCCAATGTTTGTCTTTGGAGATTGCATGGCTGTGTGCTCAATTATATACACCTGTTAGCAACGGGTGTGGCTGAAATAGCCAAATCCACTAATTTTTACTTCAGTGAAAACAGCCATAGTGCAACTCTCCCTTTTCAAGGCTGAATTAATTTACCAGGAAAAGTAAGGTTCAGTACACAGACCTGACATATATCAATAACAGCCACCAGGGGTTCCATGCACTTAGGAAATTGTGCAGACTTGCTAAAACATCGTTTCCCCCCCTGTGTACAGGTGTCATGGTTTACTACCACATTAGTATAGGCCTACTATATGTATTTACCAACTTCAGTTTTACTCAGCTCAGCATATTCCTTTGTCCCTATTTCAACAGAATTTGAAGAGTGACTGATGGGGAGAGGACTACTGCTGAGCATTCTTATTTGAGAGTGGAAGGCTGCAAGCTGACAGACTATTTTTTCGACTCTCAAACTATTTCACTTTCCCATAACGAAAAGACCACAATGTTTACAATTGGCTGATGCATGCAACCACTGGACTGCAGTGATAATGTGTTCTGGGTCATAGGTGTTAGGATCAGAAAGTACAAGAATAGGATACGCATTCACAGGATGCAAAGCAAACATGCCCACAATTACATTATGGCATGAAGGCTGAAAAAAGAGTAGCCTAGTCTACAATCTCCCAAAAAACGACAAACTTTCAGCCCCGCGAGGAGGATAGGGGTCTGTGAGGATACAGGGGGAGTGATATGTCATTTACTGGAACAGTCTCACGAGCACACGAGTGAGAGCGCGCGCGTACAGGCACCCAGTGAACACCGGCTTCTTTCCCACTTTGTATTTCTTTGTATTTCATTCAGCGCGTTCACTTAAATCACTGGCAGACGAAGGAGCTACCCTATTGTATCTATAGTGAAAGGTAAGATTGAAATTCGTTTGAGAAAAATGCGTCGGGACAAAACGTTTTATTTTTCATAATGGGATTCAGTTTTATTTGTAGCCTACTTTCACTGTAGCGGATGCATTTTACGGAATAAATGGGGTATCGGTTATTCACAATGTATTATAGCTGCTGTTGACAGTCTTATGCATGCAAAGAAAATGTTTCTTCCAATGTCGATACGTGTTCCATGGTGGTGAATCTGACATATAGCCAAAATTGTGTGGCGCGCGTGCCTATATCAAATAAAATGTGCATAAGAATGTTTTTAGCCAACAGATGTCAGCTGTTTTAGCAGCTGAAATGTAGACATAATACAGAGTTATCCAAGAGATCCGTTGGAAGGGACCAAACTGCGGATGTTCTGGTTGACTAAACTATGCGCGGAGATTTGACATATGGGTTTCCACTACCACAGCCACAAATATCGTAAACATTCATGAAAACAAAAATGTCCTGTTTGGTCTTAATTAAGCTTAGGGTTAAGCATAAGGTTAGCACTGTGGTTAGGGTTATGTTTAAAACCAGATTTTAAGAAGATAAATTGTAGAAATAGGTGGGCTTTATGACTTTGTAGCTGTGGTAACTAGTAACGCCCGTTCTAATGTGATAGGCAGCTTCCCTTCCTTGGCACACAAATTTGTTTACATCCCTGTTAGAGAGCATTTTAGCCTTTGTCAAGATAATCCATCCACCTGACAGGTGTGCTATATCAAGAAGTTGATTAAACAGCATGATCATTACACAGGTGCACCTTGTGCTGGGGACAATAAAAGGCCACTCTAAAATGTGCAGTTTTGTCACACAACACAATGCCACAGATGTCTCAAGATTTGAGGGAGCGTGCAGTTGTCATGATGACTGCAGGAATGTCCACCAGAGCTGTTGCCAGATAATTTACGGCAGGTAGCTTAGTGGTTAAGAGTGTTGTGCCAGTAACCGAAAGGTTGCTGGTTCTAATCCCCGAGCCGACTAGGTGAAAAATCTGTCGATGTGCCCTTGAGCAAGGCACTTAACCCTAGTTGTTCTGGATAAGAGTGTCTGCTAAATAAAAATAAATGTCAATGTTAATTTCTCTACCATAAGCCACCTCCAACTACATTTTAAAGAATTTGGCAGTACCTCCAACTGGCCTCACAACCGCAGACCACGCGTAACCACGCCAGCCCAGGACCTCCACATCCGGCTTCTTCACCTACGGGATCGTCTGAGGGGTGGGGTGCTGAGGAGTATTTCTGTCTGTAATAAAGCCCTTTTACGGGGAAAAACTCATTCTGATTGGCTGGGCCAGGCCCACCCATTGCTTCCACCCTGCACAGTCATGTGAAATCCATAGATTAGGGCCTAATGAATTTATTTAATTTGACTGATTTCCTTCTATGAACTGTAACTAGGGCTGTGGCGGTCATGACATTTTGTCAGCTGGTGATTGTCATGCAAATAACTACCGATCTCACGGTATTTGACCGTTAATTAACATAAACACATTTAGCATCTCCGGCTTCCACGCTTAGCCTACAAGCCACTGATGCGGACCTTTGGAAAATCTACATTTAAAAAAGTCTAATAAATCCATTTAATATAGCCTACACCATCACAATAAATCAATTATTTATTTTAGGCAGGTCTAAAGAAACAATATGACATGAAGAAAATGTAGCCCTAATCTGGCTATGCCATATGGCTGTGGGCTACGCTAGTTCATTTAGCAGGCAAGACTTGCTTATAATTCCCATGGCATTATTTTATATTGTTTTATAGTGAGAACAATAAAATGGAACATAGCTGAATTAAATAGAAAGGATAGTTTCCCCAAACGATTTCCGAGGGAGTGCACACATGCGGCTATTCTGTGTTGAGCGGTTAACAAAGAAACAGGTCCTCCTATATGCTTCATTTAGAGTTATTTATGCAACTTTAGTTGTGATACAAACATTAGGTTATATGTTTTGATTTCTAATACATTCTAAGGCTGCATGATGCGACTCTAATGATAATTTGAAAAAAAAAAGTTGCATGAAAGGCAAGCGCTCTGCTCTGTTTCTTGTGCAGGCTGCACACGCTGGGCATCATTCACAAGTATTCTCACCCCCATCAGACTATTCTCAATTGAATCTAGTCTGTACATATACTAAATAATATATGTGTGAAATTAGTTTTGATTTAGAATGGGCCATTATTATCTGTTGGAACAGGGGCAGGGGAAAAAAAGACATGTAATACGTATGCACTTGAATAGCGAATGGAGGACACTTTTCCCATGGTTCATTTTCATGCCAGCCAGGTAGGCTACTCCTGTTGTAAAGCGTCCTCCATTCGCTATTCAAGTGCTTAATATTAGGAAAGATGAGAAATTAATAGCCTATAGAAATCTGATGAGATCCTCTTTTTAATAGAGGCTATCAAAACTCAGTTTTCTCAATGAATTGCATAGCATAGCCTATAGAGATGTTGCGCAACATGGGCTTATAGGAACACTTATTCCATACATCAACCAGCTATGAGGAGCTGGCTCTCGCTGCGCAACAGGTGATCCTATTCTGCTCAAGCTCTGAATGCCAGGGCTCTCATTAAGTGTGTGATTTGATTTTCGATTGCATTTGCATTGATGTCAGAGTGATTAGAGAGCGCTGAGTACAAGACCATTAGCGACTGGCCGTTAGCAAGTTTGGTAGGCTACTAATGACTATCAGCGGCATCAGAGCGCAGTTTTGGAGAAGCCTAGTTACCGTGACTAAATGGTCACGTGAAATTTGACTGCGGTCATGACTCGTGACTGCCGGTGTGGCGGTTATACTGTCACCGTAACAGCCCTAACTGTAACTCATAAAATCGTAGAAATTGTTGCATGTTGCGTTTATATATTTGCTTTCAGGTGATTACATTGTTGTTCTTCCTGGACTCGGCTACGCACCTTGGTGGGTGCATGTGGGTGTGCGTGTGTGTGGAGCGTGCGTAAAAAATGCTCACCTGCAGACCGCACTGGTTCCACACGGATTTACACGTGCAAAATGAAAATGATGAGCTCGCTGCCGCGTCGCCAGTAACGCGGAATTGTTAGTGTTGCATTCATTATTATAGTTAGACCAAGTGTGTAAATCACATTAACATGCGTCAGAGGGGTCACAGCTCCAGAATTCTCTAACAAGACAAGGTTGTGCTCCGGGCTGTTCAGTGTAGGCCTATCTACAGTATGCTAATGAACAGCTTTGAAGTGTGTGCGTCTGTGCTGTGTGTGTGTGACACGAGGAGAGGAAGTAAGGAGAGAAATACAAACCCTTGGAATGAGAATGAGAGACACCATGTACCACATTTGCACGTCAACAACACTTTGACTTTAGACATTAAGGAGAAGATCATTATCAGCCATTTCCACTCAGCACATAATGCGCACACACAAACGAGCCAGCCAGCCAGTATAAATATTCCCCAGTCCCCACTCACCGGAGTCTTTGTTGAACACATTAATTTGTCAAGTGAATGTACAGCTGAGTCATAAACACTAGCAAATTGTTAGAGGGCGCACAAGTCTGCCACAACACAGCACTTTGATTGGGTGGTTGTCATACCACTTAGACTTTGACTGACTGTCAATGTCAGATGTTGACAATAGCAAGATGAGCGATGTGCTGAGTACAGTCACAGTGAGGCCTCTCATCAGTTTGGTTTGGACAGAATAGAAGGACTGTCTACACAGAGAGGGAGAGAGATGGAAAGAGAGAAGGAGGGGGAGAGAGAGAGGCAGAGCAGTCTTAAAACATTAAGATGAATTGAAGGAAGAAGAGAACGTCAGGGAGATGCACGGGTGGAGCAGAATCTCTTTGCCTGTCTTCATTGCTTAAGCCAGCCAAGCTCTCCCTTCATCACATACCCTCCTCTCTCTTCCCCTCTTCCTCTATCTCCCCCTCTCTCCCTCTCTCTTTCCCCCTCTCCCTCCCGCTCTCCATCCCTCCCACTCTCTCCCCCTCTCTCTGTATCTCCCTCTCTCTCCCCCTCTCCTCTCTCTCTATATATGTAAAGGCCTGACATGCACAGGCTATTTTTAATAAAAATGAAACCGCTTTCTTGCAGTGAAGCGAGACAGAGTGAAGTGAGACTGAAACAGCGATTTGCAATTTAGGCCTGTGTGACACTCATCATCCCCCTCCGAGCCACCAACAGTAAATTCGCCCTCAGTCTTTCATTGCCTATCTCTATCACTCTATCTCTCTCCAGACAGCCCCTCACACATGCATCTCAATAACACTTACGTCTCAAATGCTGAAAACAAATATTAAATGACATGTTTTTTCTGTAATTGTGGAGCGGTAGACATGAGAACAATATGAACAACACTCAAACTAACTGTTTTAAAATGGGCCAGGAAGTACTAGTAATGTATTCAAAGATGCAGCATTATACAGAAGAAAGAGAATAGCTGTAAAAGCGTTAGAGTGGAGATACAATATATGGGATGGTTTAAAGATGAGGGAACAGACATAGCGGCTCAGAGAGACTGAGTGCACATCTGGCATTAATATTGATGAAGTGGTATTAATGTGTGCAAAATACAAAAAAATAGCATTATTCCTTTCATTTTTTTTCTTCTGCGAAAGAATTTATGTGGAGGGGAGAGCGGTAGAACAAAATCTAATATATAGCTCAAACGAGTTCTTTGTTCTCAAGCATTAAGAAACTAGGGCAATTGCTGAATGTGAATGAATTAGTATTCTGTCCCTGTCTTAAACATTAAAATATTAAATTAATTAAACATTCAGATAGATATTACACAGTCATTTTAGGTTAATAGTGTTTTAACTTAGGCCCACATTTGCATCTAAATGAATGGGTTTTGTAATACAATTGCAGATGTTTTAATTGCACTATAAAAGGGAGCTCAGATAAGGCTATTCGATATAAAAAGAGGATTTGGGCATGCTAAGTCAGGGATTGTAGTTTGGCAGCCATTCTATTCTTATAGACAGAAATAAATATGTACCATTGTATATGAGTGTTTGTGATTGTGTGTTAAATGAGAGAGTGAGAAATGTAAAGAGTGACAGTGACAAATTCACACAGAGAAAGAGAGAGAGAGAGAGAGAGAGAGAGAGAGAGAGAGAGAGAGAGAGAGAGAGAGATAAATGCAGAAAGGAGAGGGAGATAGAGGAATTGTGATTACACATTTTCAGTCTTGTTAAGTTGGTGACAGCCTTCATTGCACAAAGCCTGGAAGATCGATGGCCGGGGTCTGACTCTAATACTAACGAAGCTCGGATCGTTAAACTTTTGGGAAATGATGACAGAAATTGATTAAAATATGTATGAGTCCAATTAATCTCTTAAGGGGGACTTATTCCACTACTTGGCATTGAGGCATGAGGAGGCCATCTTTAGGACGACATCAATCATCTGATGGACTGGCAATTGTGTCTGACACAGTAAAGTAGTGGAGCTGTGCCCCACCCTCTGCCCATCAGGTCCAAACTCAGCCTCCAGAGACAAAGCTCCCTTACAGGCTCTACATTGAGCTCATAACCTAACACAATAGTCTCATTATACTATGGCCCAATCTGTCAATAAGTATTCAGTGACGCTTTAAACCAAAATATGCAATGCTTTATTACTTGTTACGAGCATCTATGAGCCCTTGTAATGTTTTATTATGTTATAAATAGAAAATATATATTTATATGCTGCAATTTTACAACAGACTGAACATAGCTTCTTGTTTTCTATTAGCTGATGACTATGGTGTATAATCCTTCAATTCACTAAACACTAAACGATGGACAAATCTCCACATAGACTGTATGTAAAAACACAGTGCAGACAGTACAGTGCTATTGCAATATATTCCCCACAATGTGGAGTTGTAAAATGGTAGCCAGTTCTCCTCAGGTCTTGAGGAGTTAATGAGAATAGTGTCAACATCTCTGCATGTCTTCATGCCTCCTGCACCTCGGAGCTGTTTGCTCTCCTTTTAATTAAAACAGCTAAGATTACTCTAATTCTCTCTCTACTCAGGTAATCCAGCTCCGCTCTGCTGCGGCTGTGGAAGGGAGTCCTGCATCATGTGAACAGCAGAACGGGAATGAGTTAGTGTGAGAATGAAACGCGAACAGAATAAAGACTGACCCTGTGGATAGCAAAGGAAATCACAATGTGGGGAGAAGACATGCAGAATCCAAGGAGAGAAACAAAAATCTCTGGATATCATTTTTGTTTTACGGGTTGACTAACACACCACCTCCGTCATGACCACCCTAACGGTGCTTCTTCTTGTTTTGGTTTGTACGTGGGAGGAGCAGCGAGGATGTAGCTCACTAACTGTTAGTTCACCAAGTACAGCTCAGAACAGTCAGGAAGACCTAACAGATCCGAGGGCTGCAGAAAACACTGTCTCGCTGGTGAATCATGGTCAGAATGCTGAGGTTCTTATGACAACGCACATTCCACTGACTCCTGGATTAACAGAAACAGGAAAGAATGGCCTGGATGAAATAATACAGATCTCAACTCAAACTCCAGACTTTACCTTTCAAACCACTTTGACTCCTGGAAAGATATGGAATGTCATTACATCCAAGAGTGAAGCTGTGTATAATGGGGATAATGTTCACACTCAGTCACTGGAGGCCCAGGAGTTCATGGAGGCAGAGGCCAATGGAGACCCCAGTCATCATGTGAAACTTCAGAGTGACTCCCATCCAGAGTCCAGAGTTCTCCCAGAGAGCATCTCTGGGTGGGGCTTGGTCTCTCAGGGGGAGGGGCTAACTATAATAGGGGTGGGGCCTCGCTCTCGTCATAGGCGGAGCTGGCAGTGGAACCAGTTCTTTGTGATTGAGGAGTACAGAGGACCAGAGCCAGTGCTCATCGGACGGGTAAGACCTCATCACAACCAATGTCATTAAAGTACAGTATGATTTCAGTGTTATAAGAAATGTCCATAAATGTAGCTTTGGTTAATTCCTAGAACAACAGCCTGAGGATACAGCTTTTTCACTCAAGCTCCCCTTCTAGCATTCATTGGGAACATCCCGCGCCCCCCACGTCTATTTCTATGGGCACAAGCACTGTTTTATTATACACAAACTGTTCACACCCCTTTTGTTGGCTGAGAGACAATTTTGCAGATTTAAAGCTTATTTCCTACAATTCTACACATTTTGCCATGTCTTACTGTATGTGTGTTCATGTGATATTTGATTGACTCAAACATTACAACAAAATCAATGGGCTAAAAAACCTAGCTGAAAAGCGTTAGCTGACATAGGCTCTGTTGATCTGGAAATTTCTGACAAGTCATAAATAGCTCTCTAAGGCCTGCAATGACTGACATGACGAGGAAAACTGCTGATGCACTACCCAATTTTGAAATTGGCACCTTGTGCATTCTACTATTACAACTTCCAGGAGTAAGGGGGCGGGGGGGTCCCTCGCACGCCCCACAGTTTGGGAACCACTGCAGTACACTACTAGTCAGTTGGCATACTTACATCACTAAGGTTAGCCAATAAGTACAGTTGGTCACACCGCACCAACAACACCAAAGAGCTGACAGGAAGTCCGTTTTCAGCCAGTATGATGAGATGATTGGAGATGTTTTAAATCAGAGCACACCTGATCCATCTAGATCTGTGGAAGTTACTTGTAGCACTTCACAGGCAAAGCGTTGGGCTGCTAATGCAGCTGCTGGCAGCTTTAGTGTGTGTGTGTGTGGATTATATTAGCTGTGACGCTTACAGGGAACTCTGCCAACTCACAGTAGCAGGCAGCATACTTTATTATGACCCCACAGTTTGGAGCCTCACCAACCAACAATGTGTTTACCTCATAAATGTTTCATCTTCCTCTCTGCCTGTTATTGATACAGTCAGGGAGGGATGTTAGTGCGGTCGGTGGAGACATGATACTCTTTCTTGTTGTTGTAGTTAGTGCACAAGTCTGATTCAGGGCTTGAGATGGCTAGGATGCCATAAGGGATCTCGCATAGGAAGGGAGGAGTTGTTTGGCTGTTATGCCAAACATGTTCCAGCTTGTTAGGGCTATGAGTTTGATAGGATCATACATACACCAATGCCCAGACTCACATACATGTATAGAGTGTATGTTCTATGCCATTTGAAAGACATTGCTAGAAACATTGAGAGAGGGGTAAGATACAGTAAATCATGGCAATTAATGAGAATTTTACAGGAAAAGAAAATCAACAAGGTGAAGATAGACTGAAGATCTCTGCCATACCGTAAGAGCAAGGAGAAGAGAAAATGTAGATGAAAGAGAGCGGGGAGAGTGATAACGGCATGGGGAAAGTAGCCGTCTGGGAATTCCATATGAGATCACTGCAAAAAAAATCCCTCTCCACTGTTTTGTTTTTATGGATTGGATAAGTTTCAACCCCACTGAGAAAATATTTTGCCATGGTGACTGATACACAGCAGGACTGAGCTAGCAATTACATTGAGACTAGGAGGGTAGGGGTTGGTGAGAGAGAGGGTGGAGGCTAGGAGGGAGGGGTGTTAGGAGAGTGAGATAGGGAAGGAGACTGACAAAGATGTCTCTTGTGGTGTTGTGTGGGATCCGAATCAAAGCAGATTTAAGGAGGAAGAATATATAGCATTTCTTACTGTCTGTTATCATGTGTTTCTTTAATCCCTAACTGCACGCACAACTACACACATACACACACACACACTCACACACACTCTCTCTCTTTCTCTTGCTCTCTCTCTAACACACATATCACACTCGCACACAGACAAACTTGGCTGTATACACCCAGGGTTTATGAATTACAGTTGACATGTATACCAATGTTTTTATGCACCACTTTGGCATTCTTGGGTAGAAGAAATTCACATCTATGTGATTAAAGGCCTGGGGCCATAATAATTTCTCGCACTTGCTCTCTCCAGGCTTATGTGACATAATAATATTAACAATGTTCCTTGCCCATGGCTTGGCTTGTACGGAATTCTCATATGAAAAATATAATAACCACAGAGACCACGAAGCTGTTTCCATATGAAAGAGACTACAGTATATGTACAGACCTCAATTGATGTGAAAACCTGCAGTATATTGCTCAGTAAATATCAAAGAAACCCATGCTACTTACTATAGTTAAAATAATGGGTTGTGGTTTACTAGACAGAGGTTATGTTGGTCTAAGATGGAGGGTCCGCAGCGGAGGGGAGGAAAGGATGTGATGAGAGTAAGCCTAGTGGATTATGAGCATGTGCAGATGTGCCTTAAGGGGTGCGAGATGTGAAGGTTCCTGGTCAGAAAGCCTTCCTTGTGTGATGAAGGCTGAGTAATCTCTTTAGCTTTCTATTTCTGTGTGTCTGGCCTTTTACCCACCAAGCTCCTTGTAATATCCCCCTACTGCCATTAAATACTGAACAAGCTAGCACTCTTCACTGCAAAGTAAAATGGGCAGACACACAGAGAGAGAGAAAGAGAGAGAAACAGATGGGCAGATGGACTGTCAGAGGTACGTTCTCAGAGAGAGAAAGAGACTATAATTTGACCCCAATAACTAGCGTTGGACATGCGTCAACAGCAACCTTGGGGAAATCCTCTGCATTATCATTAACAGCAGACTATACATTTCCTCAGTGAAAACAATGTACTGAGCAAATGTCAAATTGGCTTTTTACCAAATTACAGTACGACAGACCACGTATTCACCCTGCACACCCTAATTGACAAACAAACAAACCAAAACAAAGGCAAAGTCTTCTCATGCTTTGTTGATTTCAAAAAAGCTTTTGACTCAATTTGGCATGAGGGTCTGCTATACAAATTTATGGAAAGTGGTGTTGGGGGAAAAACTATGAGATCCATGTACACAAACAAGAAGTGTGGGGTTAAAATTGGCAAAAAACACATACATTTCTTTCCACAGGGCTGTGGGGTGAGACACTGATGCAGCTTAAGCTCCACCTTCTTCAACATATACAGTGGGGGAAAAAAGTATTTAGTCAGCCACCAATTGTGCAAGTTCTCCCACTTAAAAATATGAGAGAGGCCTGTAATTTTCATCATAGGTACACGTCAACTATGACAGACAAATTGAGAATTTTTTTTCCAGAAAATCACATTGTAGGATTTTTAATGAATTTATTTGCAAATTATGGTGGAAAATAAGTATTTGGTCACCTACAAACAAGCAAGATTTCTGGCTCTCACAGACCTGTAACTTCTTCTTTAAGAGGCTCCTCTGTCCTCCACTCGTTACCTGTATTAATGGCACCTGTTTGAACTTGTTATCAGTATAAAAGACACCTGTCCACAACCTCAAACAGTCACACTCCAAACTCCACTATGGCCAAAAGCTGTCAAAGGACACCAGAAACAAAAGTGTAGACCTGCACCAGGCTGGGAAGACTGAATCTGCAATAGGTAAGCAGCTTGGTTTGAAGAAATCAACTGTGGGAGCAATTATTAGGAAATGGAAGACATACAAGACCACTGATAATCTCCCTTGATCTGGGGCTCCACGCAAGATCTCACCCCGTGGGGTCAAAATGATCACAAGAGCGGTGAGCAAAAATCCCAGAACCACACGGTTGGACCTAGTGAATGACCTGCAGAGAGCTGGGACCAAAGTAACAAAGCCTACCATCAGTAACACACTACGCCGCCAGGGACTCAAATCCTGCAGTGCCAGACGTGTCCCCCTGCTTAAGCCAGTACATGTCCAGGCCCGTCTGAAGTTTGCTAGAGTGCATTTGGATGATCCAGAAGAGGATTGGGAGAATGTCATATGGTCAGATGAAACCAAAATATAACTTTTTGGTAAGAACTCAACTCGTCATGTTTGGAGGACAAAGAATGCTGAGTTGCATCCAAAGAACACCATACCTACTGTGAAGCATGGGGGTGGAAACATCTTGCTTTGGGGCTGTTTTTCTGCAAAGGGACCAGGACGACTGATCCGTGTAAAGGAAAGAATGAATGGGGCCATGTATCATGAGATTTTGAGTGAAAACCTCCTTCCATCAGCAAGGGTATTGAAGATGAAACGTGGCTGGGTCTTTCAGCATGACAATGATCCCAAACACACCGCCCGGGCAACGAAGGAGTGTTTCAAGGTCCTGGAGTGGCCTAGCCAGTCTCCAGATCTCAACCCCATAGAAAATCTTTGGAGGGAGTTGAAAGTCCGTGTTGCCCAGCGACAATCCCAAAACATCACTGCTCTAGAGGAGATCTGCATGGAGGAAGAAAGACTTACAGAAAATGTTTGACCTGTGTCATTGCCAACAAAGGGTATATAACAAACTATTGAGAAACTTTTGTTATTGACCAAATACTTATTTTCCACCATAATTTGCAAATAAATTCATAAAAAATCCTACAATGTGATTTTCTGGATTTTTTTTTCTAATTTTGTCTGTCATAGTTGACGTGTACCTATGATGAAAATTACAGGCCTCTCTCATCTTTTTAAGTGGGAGAACTTGCACAATTGGTGGCTGACTAAATTCTTTTTTCCCCCACTGTATATCAACAAATTGTTGAGGGCACTAGAACAGTCTGCAGCACCCGGCCTCACCCTACAAGAATCTGAAGTCAAATGTCTACTGTTTGCTGATGATCTTGTGCTTCCGTCCCCAACCAAGGAGGGCCTACAGGAGCACCTTTTATTTTATTTTATTTTACCTTTATTTAACTAGGCAAGTCAGTTAAGAACAAATTCTTATTTACAATGACGGCCTACAATGACCTAGATCTTCTGCCCAGATTCTGTCAGACCTGGGCCCTGACAGTAAATCTCAGTAAGAGATTCAAAAAAAGGTCCTGTTGCCAGGACCACAAATACAAATTCCATCTAGACACCATTGCCCTAGAGCACACAAAAAACTATACATACCTCAGCCTAAACATCAGTGCCACAGGTAACTTCCACAAAGCTGTGAATGATCTGAGAGACAAGGCAAGAAGGGCCTTCTATGCCATCAAAAGGTACATACAATTTAACATACCAATTAGGATCTGGCTAAAAATACTTGAATCAGTTATAGAACTCATTGCCCTTTATGGTTGTGAGGTCTGGGGTCCGCTCACCAACCAAGAATTCACTAAATGGGACAAACACCAAATTGAGACTCTGCATGCATAATTCTGCAAAAATATCCTGGGGCTCTGTTCACAAACACAAATAGACCCCACCGAGCCCCAGGACAGCAACACAATTAGACCCAACCAAATCATGAGAAAATAAAAAGATAATTACTTGACACATTAGAAATAATTAACAAAAAAACAGAGCAAACTAGAATGCTATTTGGCCCTAAATAGAGAGTACACAGTGGCAGAATAACTGACCACTGTTACTGACCCAAAATTAAATTAAAAAGCTTTGACTATGTACAGACTCATTGAGCATAGCCTTGCTATTGAGAAAGATTGCCATAGGCAGACCTGGCTCTCAAGAGAAGACAGGCTATGTGCACACTGCCCACAAAATGAGGTGGAAACTGAGCTGCACTTCCTAACCTCCTGCCAAATGTATGACCATATTAGAGACACATATTTCCCTCAGATTACACAGACCCACAAAGAATTAGAAAACAAATCCAATTTTGATAAACTCCCATATCTATTGGGTGAAATACCACAGTGTGCAATCACAGCAGCAAGATGTGTGACCTGTTGCCACAAGAAAATGGCGACCAGTGAAGAACAAACACCATTGTAAATACAACCCATATTTATGTTTATTTATTTTCAGTTTTGTACTTTAACTATTTGCACATCGTTACAACACTGTATATAACCATAATATGACATTTGAAATGTCTTTATTCTTTTGGAACTTTTGTGAGTGTAATGTTTACTGTTCATTTTTTATTGTTTATTTCACTTTTGTTTATTATCTATTTCACTTGCTTTGGCAATGTAAACATATGTTTCCCATGTCAATAAAGCCCCTTGAATTGAGAGAGAAAGAGAGAGAGAGAGAGAGAGAGAGAGAGAGAGAGAGAGAGAGAGAGAGAGAGAGAGAGAGAGAGAGAGAGAGAGAGAGAGAGAGAGAGAGAGATACATACAAACAGATGGATTCAGAGAGGGAACGAAAACAGACAGATGGACAGAACAGAAGACAGAAAGAGCGACATTTGGGGACCACTGTCCACAGTCATGTGCTCTCACCCCCTAACAATCCCTTGTGGCCTGCTTGGTCCAATGAGTTAATTAGCTGAACGCATCAGTACACATTCTGGTCCCCTCTGTCCCCTTCACACCTGGTGCCATTCAATTCACACTCACTGAACACCACATTGGGCTTGATTGAATCGCTGATTTCACAATCTCTTGTTTAGGTAGAATATACATTATGCTAATTAGGGGTGCATTTTCTGAGTCAGTGGTGGCTTGGACACAATATGTCAAACAACAAAGCATAAGTTCAACTATAAACCCTCTTTTAGAGAAAATATCATAGAGAACTAAAGCCAATCATTAGGCTAGGCTCAATGCAAAATCCATAGATATTTTATGACTTTTTATTTCTCTCTATATACACATATCTCCTGCAGCTGCACACAGATATGGACAGAGGGGATGGGCGTACCAAGTACATCTTAGAAGGAGAGGGGGTGGGGTCTGTGTTTGTCATCGACGGGAACACGGGCAACATCCACGTCACCAAGTCCCTGGACCGAGAAGAGAAGGACCAGTACCGCCTCATTGCCACGGCAACCGACCGCCAGACGGGCCACGCCCTCGAACCCTCGTCCATGTTCATCATCAGAGTGCAGGACATCAATGACAACCCACCTGTCTTCCAGAACGAGCAATACATCACAACCGTGCCCGAGATGGCCAATATAGGTATTACATGTGACTGACAGGGCTCCGGTCTTGATCTGTGATTTACATTACAGTCTAGACAAGCTGCCTCAAGGGCTTATTAGTCATTCCTGAAGTCTCACCACTTCATCTCTCTCTAACAGGTACATCCATAATCCAGGTGACAGCTACGGATGCAGACGACCCTACGTATGGTAACAGTGCCAGGCTGGTGTATGCTGTGACCCAGGGCCAGCAGTATTTCTCTGTGGATCCTCAGACAGGTCTGGTTGGCCTACAATACAGACTCCTATCAAGCTACATGTTAACCATATGGTAGCCATGCTGATGAACAGACACTACAGTATGCCCCTTTCATCTGTAAAGATATCATATGGTGTAATTCTGTGGTCTGTATATACAGCCATAGACAGTCCACATGTATTCTATGTACTGGACATAGAGCTGGGGACGGCAACAGGCGGCCCGCGGTCCAAAATCTGTTATAATAAAAAAAGAGATGAAAATATTGTTATTTTCAAATCCAATCAATTTTTGGGCTTCGTTGTGGTCAATTTGCAGTGTACAAATTATTATAATGATGTTCTGCCCACCCCCGAACATCTGCTCTGACAAAAATGGCCCACGGTTTAATCTTGTCGCCTACCCCTGACATAAAGGCTTGTGACATAGCTGTATGTGACATTAAAGCAGGTGACTCATCCTACTGCAGCATTTAGGTCTGCTTGTCCCTTCAGCTGTGATCTTTGTCAATGTAATGCATCATGTGCTTATTTACTGTCCTCTTATCGTCCTCTCTGGCAGGTGTCCTGCGTACTGCTGTACCTGACATGGACAGAGAGAGTCAGGATACCTATCTGGTTGTCCTTGAGGCCAAAGACATGGGGGGTCACCTGGGGGGGATGTCAGGGACGACCACAGTTACTGTGAGGCTGAGTGATGTCAACGACAACCCCCCTCACTTCAGAAAGAGTGAGCAACATTACAGTTACTGTTTTGTTATTGGCAAATGTCATGCTATTACAGTTATAGCTTTCAACTTCTAGAACTCCAGCTGAAACATTGTTAGAAAATATTTCTGTGTTCTCTCTCTCTCTCTGTGTGTGTGGGTGTTTCTGTTTGTGTCTGTGCGTGCGTGTGCGTGATTTGGTGTGTGTGTGATTTTGCGTGCGTGTGTATGTGTGTGCGTGTGATTTTGTGTGTGTGTGATTAGAGTGATGAAATGCCTTGCAATGTGGCACTTGTGATGGTGCACCGATCTCTCGCTGCTACTAAGAGCAACTTTAGGGTCTTCTCTGCCAGGGTTGTGTCACACAGCAGCTATGAGAAGAGACTACTATGCTAATAGTTTATTTTGAAGCCATTTTATGGAGTGTTCCTTGATGTGTGCATATGGCTGTTGTTTCCTCATTGCAAACTAATGAATAAAATCCATGAATGAGCTGCTTTTCTCTTCTTCTTCCCTCCTCCTCACCATCATCTTCATCACCAATCTGAATTAATAACATATTTTGAGATTTCTCTGTTAGGTTTTCTCAACACTAAGCTCTTCATGAAAAACAGTGAGGGATCATGGTCAGTCTTTTCTTATCCAAGCGCTTCTACATTCTATTCTATTACTGTTTCATCTGACACTCAGTCGTTTCTGCTCCAATAGACAATAAAATCACTGCAGAATATAACGTTCTGAGACATACAATGCATTCCTCTATACTGTATGTCCCCTCTCTCTGCGTCTCACTCCCCCCCCTCAAGCAATTTCATAATTAAAAAATGCACAGGTTATTAGGCACTATAGCTGTTCTCCTACTGTAGCTCCCTGTGGTCGGTCATGATTCTCTATCTGACACTAATGCAGAGAGTGAGTCTAAACAAACATATTTATTTCATCTGTGGAGATAGAGATGTGTGTGTTGAATTTGCAAAGCTTTGAATTAAGAGTGGCCGGGATCATTAGATTAAGGTGTGTCATTAGATTAAGGTGTGTCCTTTCTATACTGTTCAGAGGGAGACCATGGTATGAATACTACAGTTAGTCACTTACTGTGTAGAATCAAAGAGAGACACAGACTGAAACTCATCGCTGAGAGCCAGACAACTGCCAAACCCTGCTGTCACAGACTACTGCACTTTGGCTGCCTTTTCCTTGGCTACAGGACACTCAGAGAGACGTTTGTCTTTTGGTTTTCATCATTACTGTAAACATTTTCCCTGAGGACTACTGGAATGACTACTCTATCATTGTAGGATCCAAATGGTATGTCTATGCCCTGTCACTCATCTGTGTGGTCCTCTCTCTCTCTCTCTCTCTCTCTCTCTCTCTCTCTCCTCCTCTCTCTCTCGTCTCCCTTCCTCTCTCCTCTCTCTCCTCTCTCCTCTCTCTCTCTTCTCTCTCTCCTCTCTCATCCTCTCTCCTCTCTCTCCTCTCTCTCCTCTCTCCTCTCTCGTCGCTCTCTCTCTCTCTCTCCTCTCTCTCTCTCTCTCTCTCTCTCTCTCTCTCTCTCTGTAGGTGCCTGGTCGTTCTCTATTTCTGAGCTGGCAGCACCAGGGGTAGAGGTGGGTCGCCTCTCGGCAACAGATGCTGATCTGGGAGAGAACGCCATGCTGGAATATACCATCCTGGATGGAGAAGAGGGGGACACATTTAACATCACCGGAAGAGACCAAGAGGCTGTCATTGTGTTAAACAAGGTGAGCAATAAATAAGAGAGACCAGATATATAGCTCTTAATCAAGTCAAAAAACATCCACAATGTGTAAAATGAGAGTCTAAACTATGCATAGCTCCTCCAAGGCACTCTAACCAGGAAGTTAATTCAGTGAAAAACATAGAAAACCACAGGACAGTGTTGCCTGCAGAGACTCAATCAGGTCTGATAGTTTTGAATAAATAAATATTTGGTCTGGAAACAGTAATTTAACAGTTTTTCCTCAATCATTTTTCCTGGCAATCCTGTTGTGTGTGTCACGCCCTGGCTCTGGGGACACTGTTATGTTGAGCCAGGGTGTGTAGTTCTATGTTTGTATTTCTATGTTGGCCTGAGTGACTCCCAATCAGAGGCAACGAGTGTCAGCTGGTGCTGGTTGTCTCTGATTGGGAGCCATATTTAAACTGTGTCTTTCCCTTTGTGGTTGTGGGTTTTTGTTCGTATTTGGTTTGTGTAAAACCGTAGATATCACGTTATCGTTTTGTTGTTTTGATCGTGTGATCATTCTAATAATAAAATATGTTCACCTTCAACGCTGCGCCTTGGTCCTCCTCCTTAGACGATCGTGACAGAAAAACCCACCAGAACTGGACCAAGCAGCCTAGTGAGGAGCAGAAAGGGTGGACTTGGGAGCAATGGAGGAAGAGCTTCGACTGGGTCAAGCCTATTGAGCTGAATAGCGGGAGTTGGAGGCAGAAGAGCGAGAGTTGGGCGAGGACTATAGAGGCCTGGCCCACGGGGAGGAGAGACCCCCAGAAAATTTTTAGGGGGGCTCACGACGTCGGGGCAGCAGGAGGCCGCGATAGAGCGGTCCAGCGGGTTGGCAGAGGAGGCCGCCAGGTTACGGGAGTCACTGGTCACCAGGGGGAAGGAGGATGTAGAGGCACGGCGAGAGGTACTGGCGTGTGTTGCCAGTCCGGCCTGTTCCTGATCCCCACGTAGGGCCAGTGGTGTGTGTTCCCAGTACGGTCCGGCCTGTTCCTGCCACTAGTCAGTGGTGCGTTTCGTCAGCCCGGCGCGGCCCGTTCCTGCTCCCCGCACCAAGTCAGTGGTGCGTTTCGTCAGCCCGGCGCGGCCCGTTCCTGCTCCCCGCACCAAGTCAGTGGTGCGCTTCGTCAGCCCAGCTCGGCCCGTTCCTGCTCCCCGCACCAAGTCAGTGGTGCGCTTCGTCAGCCCGGTCCGGCCCGCTCCTGCTCCCCGCACCAAGTCAGTGGTGCGTTTCGTCAGCCCGGCGCGGCCCGTTCCTGCTCCCCGCACCAAGTCAGTGGTGCGCTTCGTCAGCCCGGTCCGGCCCGCTCCTGCTCCCCGCACCAAGTCAGTGGTGCATTTCGTCAGCCCGGCGCGGCCCGCGCCTGTTCTCCACACCAAGCCAGTGGTGGGCGTCGTCAGTCCGGCACGGCCCGTGCCTGTTCCACTGGTGCCTGGTTCGGCACTGGTCAGATGTTTTACGCCGGAGCTAGAGCAATCCGCTCCATCAGTGTGCAGTCCAGCTCCGGCCAGCGGGGCCAGACCGGACCAGGGGTACTTTGGGGGGTTGGAGAGGGAGTGGGGATCAGGCCCGGAGCCGGATCCGCCGCCAAGGCGGAGTGCCCACCCGGTCCCTCCCCTGTGGTATTTAGTTGGCGCGGTCGGAGTCCGCGCCTTTAGGGGGGGGTACTGTCACGCCCTGGCTCTGGGGACACTGTTATGTTGAGCCAGGGTGTGTAGTTCTATGTTTGTATTTCTATGTTGGCCTGAGTGACTCCCAATCAGAGGCAACGAGGGGTCAGCTGGTGCTGGTTGTCTCTGATTGGGAGCCATATTTAAACTGTGTCTTTCCCTTTGGTGGTTGTGGGTTTTTTGTTCGTATTTGGTTTGTGTAAAACCGTAGACATCACGTTATCGTTTTGATCGTGTGATCATTCTAATAATAAAATATGTTCACCTTCAACGCTGCGCCTTGGTCCTCCTCCTTAGACGATCGTGACAGTGTGATTGCAGGAATGTCACAAAATGAATGAACTCAAACAAAACATTATCTCACCTTGGTTTGCTTGGAAATGGACAATAGACAAAAAAGGGATCCAAATCCCCTGGAATTTATGCACAACTATTTGAAAAATGTAAGATTCCGACTAGCAGTTGAATTGAAATCATCAACCAGAAAATAGGTTGTGAGCCTGTGTTTTCCTCAGTGTGGTGTCAAGTACATGGGGCATCGCAAGCTCCATTTAACAAATTGTGTGAGACGAGGGTGAGAGTATGAGATAGAATGTGGGAATGATGAATCAACGTGGGAGTAAATTAATTATGGAACAAGGGTAGGAAAAGGGGCATGATGAAAAGAAGAAGAAAGAGAGATTGTTCGAGTTAGGGAGATAGAGAGGAAGCAGAGAGAGAGGGAAATAATAGACAAGAGTGGTTATAGGAAAGGACATAAGTAAAATATAATTGGTTGTACTGTATTTCTCTCCTCAGTTGCTGGACTATGAGAGGTGCAGTTCGTACTCGTTCTCAGTGGAAGTTGTGAACCCTGTAGTGGATGCACGGTTCCTACGGAAGGGTCCCTTTAAGGACCGTGCGACTGTACAGGTCATGGTCCTCAATGCAGACGAGCCCCCCCGCTTCTCCCGGTCACGTTACCGTCTAGATGTGCCTGAGAACTGTCCCCCTGTCTGCAGCGTGGGTCAAGTGTCTGCTGTGGACCCAGACACAGGACAAAGCTCCAACATCAGGTAGCCTACACTCAGTCAGTCCGTCCATCAGTCATTCTGTCCTTCACTCACTCAGTCACTCACTCAATCACTCACTCACTCACTCACTCACTCACTCATATTTTATTTTCTCAAACTATTCTTTCTCTCTCCCCTCACTTCCTCTCCCCCCTGTCACTTTCTCTCAGGTACTCCATTGATCCCCAGTCTGACCCTGAGGCTCTGTTCCGTATTGCTTCTGACAGCGGCCTTATCACCGCTGTGATGGAGTTGGACCGAGAGCGCGAGCAGTGGCATAATATCACTGTCATCGCCACACAGAGAGGTATGAGGCTCCCTCTCTCCTCTCAGCTTCAGCCACCCCCAGGCAATACAAGCACTCTGGCTTAGTACAGTCATGTTTTTCCCCATATCACTCATTGTAGCCCTGGGGTGAGAGCTGTGAAAAGCTGTAATGAAGTTGAAGTTAAACTCACCAGGCACTCCTTTCCTGTTCCAGACAATCCCAACCTTGTGACCAGAGTTGTGGTTGCCATAGAGACACTGGACCAGAATGATAATGCACCAGAGTTGGATAGGCAGTACACAACGTCTGTGTGTGACTCCAGTACCCCTGGACAGGTCAGTGCTGCTGATAACATTTACCTACAGTATGTAACTCTGACACTGCACTTTATCAGTCTATCTATCTATAGCCCTGCGTTCTGATAACCATAATGCAAATTTTTTACTGCAACCTTTGCAGGACAATTCTCTTTAGATGTCTTTGAAGATTTCCTATTCCTTTTATCATGTCTCATTTTATGAAATTGAAACAGACTCAAGATCAACTGATGTTTATTTTTTTATTTGTTTTATTTCACCTTTATTTAACCAGGTAAGCCAGTTGAGAACAAGTTCTCATTTACAACTGCGACCTGGCCAAGATAAAGCAAAGCAGTGCGATAAAAACAACAACACAGAGTTACATATGGGGTAAAAACAGTAAAACAAAGTAAAAAATACAACAGAATAAATAACAATATAGGGATGAGGTAGTTGGGCGGGCTAATTTCAGATGGGCTGTGTACAGGTGCAGTGATCGGTAAGGTGCTCTGACAACTGATGCTTAAAGTTAGTGAGGGAGATAAGTGTCTCCAGCTTCAGAGATTTTAGCAATTTGTTCCAGTCATTGGCAGCAGAGAACTGGAAGGAATGGCGGCCAAAGGAGGTGTTGGCTTTGGGGATGACCAGTGAGATATACCTGCTGGAGCGCATACTACGGGTGGGTGTTGCTATGGTGACCAATGAGCTAAGATAAGGCGGGGATTTGCCTAGCAGTGATTTATAGATGGCCTGGAGCCAGTGGGTTTGGCGACGAATATGTAGTGAGGACCAGCCAACAAGAGCGTACAGGTCACAGTGGTGGGTAGTATATGGGGCTTTGGAGACAAAACGGATGGCACTGTGATAGACTACATCCAATTTGCTGAGTAGAGTGTTGGAGGCTATTTTGTAAATGACATCGCCGAAGTCAAGGATCGGTAGGATAGTCAGTTTTACGAGGGCATGTTTGGCAGCATGAGTGAAGGAGGCTTTGTTGCGAAATAGGAAACCGATTCTAGATTTAACTTTGGATTGGAGATTCTTAATGTGAGTCTGGAAGGAGAGTTTACAGTCTAACCAGACACCTAGGTATTTGTAGTTGTCCACATACTCTAGGTCAGACCCGTCGAGAGTAGTGATTCTAGTCGGGTGGGCGGGTGCAAGCAGCGTTCGGTTGAAGAGCATGCATTTAGTTTTACTAGTGTTTAAGAGCAGTTGGAGGCTACTGAAGGAGTGTTGTATGGCATTGAAGCTCGTTTGGAGGTTTGTTAACACAGTGTCCAATGAAGGGCCAGATGTATACAAAATGGTGTCGTCTGCGTAGAGGTGGATTTGAGAGTCACCAGCAGCAAGAGCGACGTCATTGATATACACAGAGAAAAGAGTCGGCCCAAGAATTGAACCCTGTGGCACCCCCATAGAGGCTGCCATAGGTCCAGACAACAGGCCCTCCGATTTGACACATTGAACTCTATCAGAGAAGTAGTTGGTGAACCAGGCGAGGCAGTCATTTGAGAAACCAAGGCTATTTAGTCTGCCAATAAGAATGCGGTGGTTGACAGAGTCGAAAGCCTTGGCCAGGTCAATGAAAACGGCTGCACAGTACTGTCTATTATCGATCGCGGTTATAATATCGTTTAGGACCTTGAGCGTGGCTGAAGTGCACCCATGACCAGCTCGGAAACCGGATTGCATAGCGGAGAAGGTACGGTGGGATTCGAAATGGTCGGTGATCTGTTTGTTAACTTGGCTTTCAAAAACTTTTGAAAGGCAGGGCAGGATGGATATGGGTCTGTAACAGTTTGGATCTAGAGTGTCACCCCCTTTGAAGAGGGGGATGACCGCGGCAGCTTTCCAATCTCTGGGGATCTCAGACGTTACGAAAGAGAGGTTGAACAGGCTAGTAATAGGGGTTGCGACAATTTCGGCGGCTAGTTTTTAGAAAGAAAGGGTCCAGATTGTCTAGCCCAGATGATTTGTAGGGGTCCAGATTTTGCAGCTCTTTCAGAACATCAGCTGTCTGGATTTGTGTGAAGGAGAAGCGGGGGGGGGGGGGGGGGGGCATGGGCAAGTTGCAGCGGAGGGTGCAGAGCTGGTGGCCGGGGTAGTGGGAGCCAGGTGGAAAGCATGGCCAGACGTAGCAAAATGCTTGTTGAAATTCTCGATTATTGTAGATTTATCGGTGGTGATAGTGTTTCCTAGCCTCAGTGCAGTGGGCAGCTGGGAGGAAGTGCTCTTATTTTCCATGGACTTTACAGTGTCCCAAAACTTTTTGGAGTTAGTGCTACAGGATACACATTTCTGTTTGAAAAAGTTAGCCTTTGCTTTCCTAACTGCTTGTGTATACTGGTTCCTAACTTCCCTGAAAAGTTGCATATCGCGGGGGCTATTTGATGCTAATGTAGTACGCCACAGGATGTTTTTGTGCTGGTCAAGGGCAGTCAAGTCTGAGGAGAACCAGGGGCTATATCTGTTCTTAGTTCTGTATTTTTTGAATGGGGCATGTTTAATTAAGAAAATTAAGGAAATTACTTTTAAAGAACAACCAGGCATCCTCTACTGACGGAATGAGATCTATATCCATCCAGGATACCTGGGCCAGGTCAATTAGGAAGGCCTGCTCGCTGAAGTGTTTTTGGGAGCGTTTGACAGTGATGAGGGGTGGTCGTTTGACCGCGGACCCGTTACGGACGCAGGCAATAAGGCAGTGATCGCTGAGATCCTGGTTGAAGACAGCGGAGGTGTATTTAGAGGGTAAGTTAGTCAGGATGATATCTATGAGGGTACCCATGTTTACGGATTTAGGGTTGTACCTGGTAGGTTCGTTGATAATTTGTGTGAGATTGAGGGCATCTAGTTTAGATTGTAGGATGGCCGGGGTGTTAAGCATATCCCAATTTAGGTCACCAAGCAGTACGAACTCTGAGGATAGATGGGGGGCAATCAATTCACATATGGTGTCCAGGGCACAGCTGGGGGCTGAGGGGGGTCTGTAGCAAGCGGCAACAGTGAGAGATTTATTTCTGGAAAGGTGGATTTTTAGAAGTAGAAGCTCAAATTGTTTGGGCACAGACCTGGATAGTATGATAGAGCTCTGCAGGCTATCTCTACAGTAGATTGCAACTCCACCCCCTTTGGCAGTTCTATCTAGACGGAAAATGTTATAGTTGGGGATGGAAATTTCAGAATTTTTGGTGGCCGTCCTAAGCCAGGATTCAGACACTGCTAGAACATCAGGGTTGGCGGAGTGTGCTAACGCAGTAAATAACTCAAACTTAGGAAGGAGGCTTCTGATATTTACGTGCAGAAAACTAAGGCTTTTACGGTTACAGAAGTCAACAAATGATAGCTCCTGGGGAGTAGGAGTGATACTGGGGGCTGCAGGGCCTGGGTTAGCCTCTACATCACCAGAGGAACAGAGGAGGACTAGAATAAGGATACGACTAAAGGCTTTAAGAACTGGTCTTCTAGTGCGTTGGGCACATAGAATAAAGGGGGCAGTTCTCCGGGCGTTGTAGAAAAGATTCAGGGCATTATGTACAGAAAAGGATATGGAAGGATATGAGTACAGTTGAGGTAAACCTAAGCGTTGGGTAACAATGAAAGAGATAGCATCACTGGAGGCACCGATTGAGCCAGTCTCGGCGTGTATGGGGGGTGGAACAAAGGAACTATTTGAGGCAGTTTGAGAGGGACTAGGGGTTCTACAGTGAAATTGTATAATAAGAACTAACCCAAACAGCAAAAGGCAAGGCATATTGACAAGGGAGAGAGGCATAAAGCAATCAAATCAAATCAAATCAAATGTTATTGGTCACATGCGCCGAATACAACAGGTGCAGACATTACAGTGAAATGCTTACTTACAGCCCTTAACCAACAGTGCATTTATTTTAAACAAAAAAAGTAAGAATAAAACAACAACAAAAAAAGTGTTGAGAAAAAAAGAGCAGAAGTAAAATAAAGTGACAGTAGGGAGGCTATATATACAGGGGGGTACCGTTGCAGAGTCAATGTGCGGGGGCACCGGCTAGTTGAGGTAGTTGAGGTAATATGTACATGTGGGTAGAGTTAAAGTGACTGAATAAATACTTAACAGAGTAGCAGCAGCGTAAAAAGGATGGGGTGGGGGGGCAGTGCAAATAGTCCGGGTAGCCATGATTAGCTGTTCAGGAGTCTTATGGCTTGGGGGTAGAAGCTGTTGAGAAGTCTTTTGGACCTAGACTTGGCACTCCGGTACCGCTTGCCGTGCGGTAGCAGAGAGAACAGTCTATGACTAGGGTGGCTGGAGTCTTTGACAATTTTGAGGGCCTTCCTCTGACACCGCCTGGTATAGAGGTCCTGGATGGCAGGAAGCTTTGCCCCAGTGATGTACTGGGCCGTACGCACTACCCTCTGTAGTGCCTTGCGGTCAGAGGCCAAGCAGTTGCCATACCAGGCGGTGATGCAACCAGTCAGGATGCTCTCGATGGTGCAGCTGTAGAATTTTTTGAGGATCTGAGGACCCATGCCAAATCTTTTTAGTCTCCTGAGGGGGAATAGGCTTTGTCGTGCCCTCTTCACGACTGTCTTGGTGTGTTTGGACCATGATAGTTCGTTGGTGATGTGGACACCAAGGAACTTGAAGCTCTCAACCTGTTCCACTACAGCCCCGTCGATGAGAATGGGGGCGTGCTCAGTCCTCTTTTTTTTCCAATCACAGGTGTTATTAGAGAGAGCTAAGACAACAACTGGTAATAGCGATAAAGTTTGGGCTGAGGCTAAACAGAATAAACAGGACAGGGTACCGTGTAAAGGAACAGTCCAGCAGGCATCAGCTGTGCAGCTGAGTGATCATAAGGTCCAGTGAACAGCAATATGTGAGTCCGAGAGCAGTTCAAATTGGTGCTTCAGCACAGCTAGCAGGGAGCACAGTTGTAGTTTGCGTGTGCTAGCGGGCCGGAGCTAGCAGATGGATCTTCGTGGTCGCCGCAACGGGAAGCCTGTTGAAACCACATCAGACGATTTCGTCGGCAAACCAGTCGTGTTGGATCGGCGGGGCTCAGTGTCAACACTAGGAGGTCCCGTCCGGTTGACAGAGAGATAGAGAGCCGGGAGATGGGCCTGAGGCTAGCTCAAGGCTAACTGGTGCTTGCTATAGGGCAATGGTAATTAGCCAACAACAGGTTGCAGCTAGCTAGCTGGTTGCGATGATCCGGCGCTAGGGTCCAGTGATTCCGGCAGAAAGTCTGATAAGCTCTGGGTCGATAGCACGCTGTGCAGACTGGCCGACAAATTGTCCAGGCTAGAGCTAGAGCTGGCTGGTGGATAGTGTAGGCCACGGACAATGGTGAAGACGCTAACGGTGACTAATAGCAAGTAGCCATTCAGTTGCAGCTACACTAGTTTCAGCTTAAGATCACTGTGTCCTGTTTCTCCAGCCTGCCATTGGTTTAGTTATTTTTCTCTAATGCCATTGGCTGACTTCTTTTTGTTCTGTGATTGTGAAGTCCAATAGAAGTCCTCCTCTCTCTGCTCTGTCTCCCAGGTTGTTCAGGTAGTGCGGGCGGTTGATAGGGACCAGGGAGGACAGGACGCCACCGTCCACTTCAGCATCCCTCCGGAGTCCAGCTCTGCTCTAAACCTCACAATCAGGGAGAGTGGAGGTGCCCTCTAGCAATGTTCAATCCTCTGTGTCAAACTGTCACCCTCCTCAACCCTCTTCTTAATGCATGTCAAATCAGAAAGTCTGCAACTTGTTTTGACATGCTTAATGACAGTGTGCCTGCATCTTATAGTAACGATATTATAAGCCTGTCGAACTTCTAATATTCATTTTAGGACTTACATAGTGTAAGTGGAGAATGGCATTCATGTACCATTGACCTGACGACTGGCTTGTGTTTCTGGTGTTACTGTCTTATTTAACCCCAGGTGCCACAGCGAGCCTGGTGCTCCAGTCGGCCCTGCAGCCCCTCCCTGGCTACTCCTCCTCCCTCCTCACCCTGTACGTGCCCATCGTGCTGCGGGACGGGGCGTCCGGCCTCAGTAACACTGGGACGGTCACGGTGACAGTGTGTCCATGTCTGAGAGGAGGCATGCAGGCTGAGGAGAGGGGCAGGCAAAGGGACAGGGGCTGGGAGAGACAGACGGTATGTCTGCCGCTGCCCTCCACCTCTCCATCACTCTTCTTCAGTATGGTCACCTTGCTGGCTCTGCTGGCCTGTGTCACCACCCTGCTGGGTAAGACTCTCTGTGTAGTAGCACTACTGTCTAATCAATGTATAGTACATGCCTGTTTGTACTGTTTTCGCTATACTGTATGTCTGTCTGTCTATTTGTTGTCTGTCCGTCGATCTGTCTGTCTGAAGATCTGTATCCCATGAAATGGACTGCAGTGTCAGTGTGTGGTATTTACGATGATGTGCCTCTCTCTCTCTCTCTCTCCTCTCCTCCCTCCCTCCCTCCCTCCTCTCCCTCCCTCCCTCCCTCCCTCCCCCCTAGTGGTGTGTGCTCTGTCTCTGTCTCTGCGGCATCAGAAGCGAGACTCCCACTCCCCATTTGAGGAGGATGATGTGAGGGAGAACATCATTACCTACGACGACGAAGGGGGAGGGGAGGCAGACACTGCTGCCTTTGACATCACCGCGCTCCAGAGCATGCACAGAGTACAACGCATGCAGGACAGCAGGAACATGTGAGCTGTGACGTTGGTTTGTGTAGTGTGTGTGAGGGCATGTGTTTGCATGCGCATGTGTCTGTGTGTGTGTGTGTTCCTCTGCCTTATGCTCATCTCTTCGCCCAGATGGTACACCCAGCAGAATCAGGCCAGGGCCAGGACGTACAGCTGGAGCCGGACCCCACACTCTGCTTTGGACCCCCGGCGTCCAGGCTCAGTCCCTGTGTACGGACGCCTCTGCTACAGCATCCACACCCTGCCTGTTCTCAGAGACTGTCCCGAGGGGCCCACTCCATTCCAGTCGGGTCTGCAGCTGGCCAAACTGATGGAAACCTATGGGCTTCCTGGCAATCAGATGGGTAATGATAATAATTCCTTAGTCATCCAGAACCAGGGCACATTTGATCTGCTAGAGCCTGGAGCGGTTAATCTCAACCCTGCTGAGCCACAGTGCCCCAGCAGAGACGGACCAGAGAGCATGGCGGCTGACAGCAGACCCACAGAGAGAGAGGGAGGCAGGGAGACCAACAATGACACCCAGCAACAGCAGCTGCATCTGGACCAGGGACCAATCAGGGTCAGATATGAACTTTCATATATAATGGGTGTAATAATGTTGTTGTTATCCACCTCAGAGATTTTGGTAAATCTCGGACTATTTTTCCTTTTAAAGTATTTATTATTCCTCATAAAATCATTGTGTATTTCCTCCCCAGACACAGCCTGAGTCTGTACTGACAGATGAAGCACTGGTTCTGACCTACTCTGTCCCAAATGGCTCATGCTCCCAGAGTCACAGCAGCAGCATCTCATCCTCAGAGCAGCAGGAGAACAAGCCAGAGTCCTCTCCCTCACAGACCACCACCAACACCACCACTGGAGCTTCCAGCTCTGCAGTAGATGACACAGACACAGATTCCTCTACTCTCCCCAGCTCAGAGAAGAATGAAGACACTGTTGGTGTTAGCCAAATAAATACCAATCACACCCACACTAACACACTGGGGGACTCAACATACAGCATTGTGGGTTCACTAAACCAGGGCAGTGGAGGGATACCTGTGACCGGGACTACTTTGTATCCAGGCAGTGCAGAATTCCTGAACATGTATGCGCTCGGTAGGAGCCTCTCTGGAGGCATGCTGGGATACGGCAGGGGGTGGGGCTGTGCCCGGGGACTGGTGTCTAACAGGGCAGGGGCAAGGGGTGGGGCTAACTGTAACCCTTCCCTGCCTTTGAGGATGGAGGAGTTGCTGAAGCACCGTCTGAACCAGGTGACTGACCTACCCCAGCCACCCTATGACTCACTGCAGACCTATGAGTTTGAGGGGGGGGACTCCCGGGCGGGGTCGCTGAGCTCACTGGAAAGCGAGGGAGAGAGGGAGGAGGAGAGAGAGAGGGAAGCGGTAGACGAGTTGGACCAGAAATTCCATAGGCTAGTGAAGATAATCGAAGAGAGAGAACAAGAAAAGGAGTGTGAGAGAAGTTCAGTGGAGGAGACGACACCGGCAGAAGATAGAAGCCAGTGTTTGGATGTCAATGAGACGAGCAAAACAGAGAGCGTGGATGAAGAGAAAAAGGTCTCAAGGTGGGATTTTTAGAGAACCTGCGAATCAAAGACACTGAATAGGAGTTTGGAGAGGAGAGAGAAACACTCCAACAGATGCAATTTAAAAGCAATACGGGGGTGTTATGCACAACTTCAGAGAGAAAATTGTTCTGTTCTGTTCAATGACTAAACTTCCTGCTTGTTGGCTATGCAGCACAGCTGAGACATGCCAGAAGATCCATCCAGCACATCTCATGAACTCAACCTTGTGTATATCAAATCTGTCACTTTTACTTTCCTTGTAACTGATATGAATAATGCACCTAGGCTTTCTACACTGAAGTTATGAAAATGCACTTTCTGAAATATTAATTCCCAGCCATGAAAGCTGTATTGTTGGAAAATAGGCCTCATGAAAAATGAAAGAAAATTGTGATATTTAATGTTGATAGTTTAATAGGTGCACTCTCACTCAGAACACTGTTGTTCCCAAAGGCAACATTTAAACATGGATAACTGAATTGAACTAATTCTAAAAAGCATACCAATTGTACACTTCTACACTTGCATACTGTAGGCATACACACATACACACACTAATAGAGCTAATGTGAATATATAAGGATGAATCTGTGCACATTACATCCAGTCAAATGAAAGCTGTTATGGTGATGATATTATGTTACAATCAGGAGGGGGCTCTTCAGAATTGTATTGTATAGTCTCGGACACCCAGGCTATGTATTGTCCCAGTAATTATAATCACAGTAATAGGTTCTATGAAACACTATGCAATTTGCACACTGACTAGAGATAATAAGTCTTTGAAGAAAAAAGCCTTGTAAAAAGTGTAATATGTTTCCTACTATAGCGACATGATTATGTGCATATTGTAAATATCCTCTGCAATGTGGTGATTATTGAGTGGAGGATTTCACACAGACCATGAAAGTGTCCCTTTATGAGAAACACTAATTATTTCACTCACTGAATAAGAAAAATGACATCCCTAATTTGTAGTGATTAAATGGTTGGTGTTAAAGAAGATGTCTGTTGCGTCACGTTATTTGCCACAGGATAGTTTTCCTAGCTAGTTCAGATATAAACCTGTTTATTGACTAATGTATTACTAATTTCATCTTTGCAATCCTTCCTACTGCTCAAGCTTGCTCTTTCTTTAAAACCTGACATGGAATTGGGAAAGCTTACGCACGCAATCTTACTGTTTACTATACTATTCATAATTTAACTAAAGAATGATTCATTTGACCACCAATCAATATTTCCCCCAAAAGATCTTGAGATTGAGATAACCTAATTTGCAAATACTATATGTGTCATTTGTACTACTATTGCAAAAAACACTTTTACTGTGTGATGACTACATTTAGCAGAGACCTGGGGCCTTGGCCAAACTGCTGTTTGTTCGTCCCACCAGGCTAACTGTGCTCACCAGGGGAAATGAAATCTTAATCAACCAACCATCTTAATGAGAATTCAATTTGAACTTGAGAAATTTGACAAACAATCTATAGCTCTTTGGGGAGGAAAATGAGGTGTGGAGATTGACCTGGGGCTTATAAGAAGAACAGAGAAGGCCAGTATGAAAATGTATGCACTCACTAACTGTAAGTCGCTCTGGATAAGAGCGTCTGCTAAATATGTAAAATGTAAATGTAAAATGTAAATGAGAAAGAGGAGTAAAAGAAAACTGAATGACTAGTCTAGGGCCCAATTAGAGAATGGGCCTAACAGTTAGTACATGAAAGAAAGGATGAGTTGAGTTTTTACATTGATACCAAATAAATGATAAAATATGAGGGAAATTATTACCATGACTATGTACAGGTGTGTTTTATACAGTATAAAACACATATATTGCATGGTTCTGACCACTCTGAAACAACATAATGTTGGTTATACACATAAAAAGTAATGAAGAGAAGCATTCTTCTCACACATTGCCCTGCGCTCTTTGCAGTAACATTGAAAATAGTGAAGTGCTGAGATTTTGAGTTATACAATTCTGTATTCAGGTTTGTGGCAGTGCAACACTGCCCACAGAGGTCAAGTCTATGTATTGCATCAATGCATCAACTCTGTCCTGAAGTCCTCATTTTGCAACCTGGGAGAACAGCAGAAGCTCTTCATTCACTAGTTTCATAGTCACTCCTTTAGGAACCAGAACACAGTGCAAACCTGAGAGAAAGCAGAGTTCAGGGTAAGTTATAGTTAAGTTGCTTGTCTTGTTGTCTCCTTTGGGTGTGAACGGTTTATGCAACATACTTGCCAAATTGCTATACTTCAAAACAGCTGTCATGACATTGTTCGTGGTCAACTCTCATGGTATGGAATCATCGATATCTTTACTCTGTTATGTATGCATTTTAATGACTTTAGGAAGTTAGAGTGGAATTCATGAAGTTATAAATTGGTTTGAGTTTATATACTTTATGGAGGTGTAAAGAACCTAGTCGAATGACGTCTTTGATGTTCCTATGTTCAGCATCAAAGAACGTCATCTTACTGAACTTGAATCCACTGTCTGCCTGAGGACTGAACAAAGACACAATGACAGTGAGTTCCACTACAAACACACTTGACGCCCAGTTACCCAAGCATATGTAACCGGTGTGAAATGGCTCGCTAGTTAGCGGTGCGCGCTAGTAGCGTTTCAATCTGTGATGTCACTCGCTCTGAGAAGTAGTTGTTTCCCTTGCTCTGCAAGGGCCGCGGCTTATGTGGAGCAACGGGTAAGGCGCTTTGAGGGTGACTGTTGTCGATGTGTGCAGAGAGTCCCTGGTTCAAGCCCAGGTAGGGGCGAGGAGAGGGACGGAAGCAACACTGTTACACATAAACACAAACATGAAAGAATGGCGCTGCAAAGGACAGCTGCCGTTTTATGGGCTCCTGGCCAAATCTGCTATTGCGTGTGTTTTTTGCGCTAATTGTAAATTATTTTGTAGAATGGAGCTGCAACGGATAACTCCTGACCAGTTCTGCTATTTTGTGTGTAATTTTGTGCTGATGGTAACTTTTTTTGTACATAATGTTTCAGCCATCGTTTCCTATGACCGAAAACAGCTACTGGACATCAGAACAGCAATCACTAACCTCGATTTGAATGAAGATTTCTACTTCAGCGAGTCAGCGGCGCAGGAAATACTGCTCACCCCAGACCAGGACCTAGTCCCAGAGACTCGGAAAAGGAAAAGACGGCGTATGCGGGCACCCTGTCGAAACTACGTCGGTGAATAAATAATCTGCCTCTATCCGCCGTTCTATTGGCGAACGTACAGTACAGTCACTGGAGAACAAATTGGACGAGCTCTGTTCGAGACTAACCTATCAACGGGACCTGAAGAACTGTAATATCCTATGTTTCTCTGCGTCGTGGCTGAACAAGGACATGGATAATATACATCTAGCTAGTTTTTCTATGCATCGTCAAGACTGTACGGCAGCATCGGGTAAGGTTAGGAGGGGATTGGGTGTGTCTCTTTCAGCTGGTGCACAATCTCTAATAAGGAAGTCTCAAGGTTCTGCTCACCTGAGTTAGAACACCTCATGATAAGCTGTAGACCATACTATACTGAACAAAAATATAAACGCAACATGCAACAATTTAAAAGATTTTACTGAGTTACAGTTCACATAAGGAAATCAGTCAGTTGAAATAAATTCCTTAGGCCCTAATCTATGGATTTGACATGACTGGGAATACAGATATGCATCTGTTGGTCACATATACCTTTAAAAAAAGGTAGGGGCGTGGATCAGAAAACCAGTCAGTATCTGGTGTGACCACCATTTGCCTCATGCAGCGCGACACATCTCCTTCGCATAGAGTTTATCAGGCTGTTGATTGTGGCCTGTGGAATGTTGTCCCACTCCTCTTCAATGGCTGTGCGAAGTTGCTGGATATTGGCGGAAACTGGAACACGCTGTCATAAACGTTGATCCAGAACATCCCAAACATGCTCTATGGGTGACATGTTTGGTGAGTATTAAGGCCATGGAAGAACTGGGACATTGTCAGCTTCCAGGAATTGTGTACAGATCCTTGCAACATGGGGCAGTGCATGAAACATGAGGTGATGGTGGCGGATGACAGGCACGACAATGGGCTTCAGGATCTCATCACGGTATCTCTGTGCATTTAAAATTGCCATCGATAAAATGCAATTGTGTTCGTTGTCCGTAATTTATGCCTGCCCAAACCATAGCCCCACCACCACCATGGGGCACTCTGTTCACAAAGTTGACATTAGCAAACCGCTCGCCCACATGACACCATACACGTGGTCTGTGGTTGTGAGGCCGGTTGGACATACTGCCAAATTCTCTAAAATGATGTTGGAGCTGGCTTATGGTAGAGAAATGAACATTCTATTTTCTGGCAACAGCTCTGGTGGACATTCCTGCAGTCAGCATGCCAATTGCATGCTCCCTCAAAACTTGAGACATCTGTGGCATTGTGTTGTGTGACAAAACTTCACATTTTAGAGTGGCCTTTTATTGTCCCCAGCACAAGGGGGTGGGTGGATTATCTTGGCAAAGGAGAAATTCTCACTAACAGGGATGTAAACAAGTGTGTGCATAACATAAGCTTTTTGTGCGTACGGACAATTTCTGGTATATTTTATTTTAACTGAAACATGGGACCAACACGTTTATATTTGTAACGTAGACGCAGGTAGTCAGAAAGCAGGTGCAGTTAGTGAGTTTAATGATAACGAACATGGAATGACACAAAACAAGAGACGTGTCTGACATGGGAACACAAACAATACTACCTGATGACTGATAACAAAAAAGTGCTATATAAGTAATCAAGGGAGTAATGAAGTCCAGGTGTGTCTGATGATGAGACGCAGGTGTGCGTAATGATGGCTGCCAGGTGTGCGCAAAGGTGGGTTGCCAGGACCGGTGGTTAGTAGACCGGCGAGCGCCGGAGACGGGGGAGCGGAATATTTTTGTTCAGTGTATTTACCAAGAGAGTTTTCATCTATATTATATATCTATTTATGACCACAAATCGATGCTGGCACTAAGGCCACACTCAACAAACTGTATATGACATACAGTGAGGAAAAAAAGTATTTGATCCCCTGCTGATTTTGTACGTTTGCCCACTGTCAAAGAAATGATCAGTCTATAATTTTAATGGTAGGTTTATTTGAACAGTGAGAGACAGAATAACAACAAAATAATCCAGAAAAACGCATGTAAAAAATGTTATAAATTGATTTGCATTTTAATGAGGGAAATAAGTATTTGACCTCTCTGCAAACATGACTTAGTACTTGGTGGCAAAACCCTTGTTGGCCCACTCCTCTTTGCAGATCTTCTCCAAATCATTAAGGTTTCGAGGCTGACGTTTGGCAACTTGAACCTTCAGCTCCCTCCACAGATTTTCTATGGGATTAAGGTCTAGAGACTGGCTAGCGAGCCACTCCTTTGTTGCCTTGGCCGTGTGTTTTGGGTCATTGTCATTCTGGAATACCCATCCACGACCCATTTTCAATGCCCTGGCTGAGGGAAAGAGGTTCTCACCCAAGATTTGACGGTACATGGCCCCGTCCATCGTCCCTTTGATGCAGTGAAGTTGTCCTGTCCCCTTAGCAGAAAAACACCCCCAAAGCATAATGTTTCCACCTCCATGTTTGACGGTGGGGATGGTGTTCTTGGGGTCATAGGCAGCATTCCTCCTCCTCTAAACACGGCGAGTTGAGTTGATGCCAAAGAGCTCGATTTTGGTCTCATCTGACCACAACACTTTCACCCAGTTCTCCTCTGAATCATTCAGATGTTCATTCGCAAACTTCAGACGGGCATGTATATGTGCTTTCTTGAGCAGGGGGACCTTGCGGGCGCTGCAGGATTTCAGTCCTTCACGGCGTAGTGTGTTACCAATTGTTTTCTTGGTGACTATGGTCCCAGCTGCCGTGAGATCATTGACAAGATCCTCCCGTGTAGTTCTGGGCTGATTCCTCACCGTTCTCATGATCATTGCAACTCCACGAGGTGAGATCTTGCATGGAGCCCCAGGCCGAGGGAGATTGACAGTTATTTTGTGTTTCTTCCATTTGCGGATAATCGCACCAACTGTTGTCACCTTCTCACCAAGCTGCTTGGCAATGGTCTTGTAGCCCATTCCAGCCTTGTGTAGGTCTACAATCTTGTCCCTGACATCCTTGGAGAGCTGTTTGGTCTTGGCCATGGTGGAGCGTTTGGAATCTGATTGATTGATTGCTTCTGTGGACAGGTGTCTTTTATACAGGTAACAAGCTGAGATTAGGAGCATTCCCTTTAAGAGTGTGCTCCTAATCTCAGCTCGTTACCTGTATAAAAGACACATGGGAGCCAGAAATCTTTCTGATTGAGAGGGGGTCAAATACTTATTTCTCTCATTAAAATGCAAATCAATTTATAACATTTTTGACATGCGTTGCAAACGCCATGCTCTACCAACCTCCCCTACCCTGGACGATGCTTGGCCAATTGTGCGCCGCCCCATGGGTCTCCCGGTCGCGGCCGGCTACGACAGAGCCTGGATTCGAACCAGGATCTCTAGTGGCCTTAGACCACTGCGCCACTCAAGGAAACAAAACTATGCATCACATTTACTCCACACACAGAAACGGTTACAAAGCTCTTTCGCCCTCCATTTGGCAAATCTGACCATAACTCAATGCCCCCGCTATGACCTCCGCAAGCCATCAAACAGGCAAAGTGTCAATACAGGACTAAGATTGAATCCTACTACGCCGGCTCTGATACTCGTCGGTTGTGGCAGGGTTTGCAAACTATCACGAATTACAAAAGGAAACCCAGCCACGAGCTGCCCAGTAACCTGAGCCTACCAGACGAGCTAAATGCCTTGTATGCCTGCATCGAGGTAAGCAACACTGAACCATGCATGATACAAGAGCACCAGCTATTCCGGACGACTGTGTGATCATGCACTACGTAGCCAATGTGAGTAAGACCTTTAAACAGGTTAACAATCACAAGACCGGACGGATTACCAGGACGCATACTCAGAGCATGCACTGACCAGTGGCAAGTGTCTGTAATACCTACATGTTTTAAGCAGACCACCATAGTCCCTGTGCCCAAGAATGCCAAGGGAATCTGTTTAAATGACTATCGCCCTGTAGCACTCACATCTGTAGCCCTGAAATGCTTTGAAAGGCTGGTCATGTCTCACATCAACACCATCATCCCAGACACCCTGGACCCACTACTTTGCATACCGCCCCGAACAGATCCACAGATAACGCAATCTCTATTGCACTCCACACTGCCCTCTCCCACCTGGACATGGACCCTGGGACTGAACACCTCCCTCTGCAACTGGATCCTGAACTTCCTGACGGGCCACCCCTAGGGGGTGAGGGTAGGCAACAACACATCCGCCACGCTGACCCTCAACACGGGGGCCCCTCAGGGATGCGTGCTTAGTCCCCTCCTGTACTCCCTGTTCACCCATGACTGCGTGGCCACACATGACTCCAACAACATCATTAAGTTTGCTGACGACACGATGGTGGTAGGCCTGATCACCGACGATGATGAGACAGCCTATAGCAGGGTTCTTCAATTCCGGTCCTGGAGGGCCGAAACACCTCTGTTTTTCATCCTCTCCTTCTAATCAGGGGCTAATTCAGACCTGGGACACCAGGTGAGTGCAATTAACTACCAGGTAGAAATAAAAAACAGAAGTGTTTCGGCCCTCCAGGACCGGAATTGAAGAACCCTGGCCTATAGGTAGTGTGGTGCCAGGACAAAAACCTCTCCCTCAATGTCAGCAAGACAAAGGAGCTGATCGTGAACTACAGGAAACAGAGGGCAAAACACGCCCCCATTCATATCGACAGGGTTGTAGTGGAGCGGGTCGAGAGCTTCAAGTTCCTAAGTGTCCACATCACTAAGGATCTATCATGGTCCACACCCACCAACAGAGTCGTGAAGAGGGCACGACAATGCCTCTTCCCCCTCAGGAGACTGAAAAGATTGGCATGGGTCCTCAGATCCTCAAAAATGTATACAGCTGCACCATTGAGAGCATCTTGACTGGCTGCATCACCGCTTGGTATTGCAACTGCTTGGCATCTGACCTCAAGGCCCTACGGAGGGTAGTGCGTATGGCCCAGTACATCACTGGGGCCGAGCTCCCTGCCATCCAGGACCTGTACACCAGGCAGTGTCAGAGGAAGGCCTTAAATATTGTCAAAGACTCCAGCCACCCAAGTCATAGACTGTTCTCTCTGCTATCGCACGGCAAGCGGTACTGATGCACCAAGTCTGGAACCAACAGGACCTTGAACAGCTTCTACCCCCAAGCCATAAGACTGCTAAATAGTTAGCTAAATAGTTAACCAAATAGCTAACCGGACTATCTGCATTGACCCTTTTTGCACTAACATACCCTTGTGCTACTGTTTTTTATCTACATGTATCCTGTTGCCTAGTCACCTTATTCGTAGTTCTATGTACATATCTACCTCAATTACCCCGTACCCCTGCACATCGACCCAGTACTGGTACCCTGTGCCTATATAGCCAAGTTATCGTTACTCATTGTGTATTTATTATTACTTTTATTATGATGTGTTATTACATTTCTCAATTTTCTCTCTCTCTGCATTGTTGGGAAGGGCCCGTAAGTAAGCATTTCACTGTTAGTCTACACCTGTTGTTTATGAAGCATGTGACTAATAAAATGTGATTTGATTTGAAACACACAAACACACACTTCCATTCTCCAACTAACAGTATTTGTGTTGAAGACAGAAGAATCGTCCAGGACCGGTGGCAGTGGTCGTATAATCTCAAATTCAGACACTTTGACCCCGGTTATATTTCCTTGAAGGAAATGTATAGGTTGAGATTGAAGAGGGACAACAGCTGATTGGCTCCACCCACCTCCCCTGTGCTGAGGAATAGAAAGAACATTTAAATAATTTACAATGCTGGCATGTTATTTCAAAGAATCACCAATCTAGAGGCTAAAAACAGAAATGACCATTGTCTAAACAAGTTTTACATAGATATTTAATCAGATTATAAAATAAAATAGCATGCAGTTGATCCCAATGTGAACTAACCGTGATGCCACTCCAATCTGGATCCCCTGGTCATGTAGAGAAGTCAGTATGTCCAATGTTTCTGAGTACAGTTTGATTTTCTCCCCTCTTGCATCCAACACCACTCCCTGTAGGGAAAGACACGTGATATTATAAAAAATCTGAAAAGACATGGCTGAAATGTGATGTGTGTAAAGGTTGCAGAGGATTTAGAGAAGGACATAGCCTAAAGCCATCACTAGCTTGCTACTCATCAATCAATTTTCACGATTTTTGACCAGGAAACTCACACTTTGTGAAATGGTGGGTCCACATGGGTATCTAACCAGAAGGGCCAAAGAGTATAATCTGAGATAGGGAGAACACAAAAACAGAGCAGATGAGATGGAGGATGACAGGTACAGAAACAGACTGAAACACATGACAGTTAGCTAGACAAACTACTTTAGCTGTGACTGTCTTGTTTTTCTGCTCTGGTTTTAGCGAGGTACGATATTTGTCAGTGTTCTTTCTCTTTAACTTTATTGAACATAGCTAGCTAACTAGCTACATGGCTATCTAATGTTAGCTAGCTAGCTACGGTAAGTTATAGCTAGTTAGCTAGCTTTTCAATTTATCCTGGTCAAAAACAACAAACTTTGGTTTAGACATAGTGTTATGGGTGTAAGATGGCACATTGATGCCATCTGTTGGTAAATGTTCATTACTGCAACTCCAGTGTTTTACCGGTGTACTTGAGATACCCGGATGTATTGCAATATACTGAACAAGACTGGTTACTCGCATCAATGCCTCTGCCTCGTTATTTAACATTCAAACATGGTGTCAGAGTCGGATAACTAACCATGCTTTCCGCAAATTAGAGTCACCTGTTCTGGTTTTAAAAAGCTTAGTTGAGTAAAACTTCTCCGGAATTGTCCTTAGCTAGATTGAGTTTGCTAGTTAGCTTCAGTGTTGTTAGCACCGTTTAGACATGGCAGCGAACATTTCCCCTCCCGCCGTTATGAAGCTCAGAGGAGATTGGAGCACAAACTGGGATACGTTTAGAGGTGAATGGGAGGACTATGCACTAGCAACGGGACTTCGGGAAAAGGATGATGAGGTAGTGGCTGCCACTTTGAGGACTATAATGGGAGCAGAATGCCGACACGTATACAAACACAACCTGAACCTAACAGCAGCTCAGCAAGGTAACGCTACAGCTATTCTTGATGCTCTCGAACTTTACTTTAAGCCAGCAAAGAATGTTATCTACGAGCGTTATGTTTTCGGTTGTTGCAAACAGGAGGACGGGGAGTCCATTGACAGCTTTGTCACTAAGCTAAGGGAAATGGCAGCTACATGTGACTATGGTGCTTTAAGAGATGAACTGATCAGAGACAAGATAGTGCTTGGCATAACTGATGAGGGCACTCGCAGACGTTTGCTGAGAGAACGTGACCTGACACTAGTCTTGGCAGTGGAGACATGCCGTGCAGCAGAGCTTACGGATATACAGATAAGGTCCATGGAGCTAGAAAGGCAACATATGGACAATGTCAATGCTACATTCAGGCAGCCAATAAAGAAATTCCCTTTTGCCACAGCTAATGCTAATACTACAGCCAACTCTGCAGTAGACAACCCCAATGCATGCCGATATTGTGGCATTTCTCATGGACGAGGAAAAGAACACTGCCCAGCCTATGGAAAAATATGCAAATCCTGTGGTACAGCTAATCACTTCGCAAGGGCCTGCATGAAAAGCAAGAGAAAGGAGGGTAAAGTGCACTCCATTGAAATAAACACAGATGAAGGGAACAACAGCACAGAGGATGTATATGCTAGCGAGTGCATAGGGGCAGTAAGGGCAAAAGGAAAAAAATGGTTTGTCACTCTGCTACTTAATAATAAACCACAGCAATGCCAGCTAGATTCAGGGGCCACATGTAACGTTATGAGCCTTAAAGATAAAAGGAGGCTCGCGCCCAGAGACAAACTCACACAGAGTAGCACCAAGCTGAAACTGTATTCAGGCCAGTTCATGACCTCTTTAGGCCTGTTTGTGACAGAGTGTGTCTTACGTGGCCAGAAACACACTCTTGAGTTTGAAATAGTTGAGGCTAGTCAACAGCCATTACTGTCAGGTTCTACATGCGAGCGCCTTGGGCTTATTAACTTCACCATCCCAGCTGATCTTAACATTATAGACAAAGTCCAGGCTGGGCCCCTGAGCAAGGAGACTCTCCTAAGCAAGTACCATGATGTCTTCAACGCACCGGTCGAGTCAGTTCCCGGCGAAGTCCACTTTGAGTTGGATGCAGCAATTCAGCCTGTCCAGTGTGCACCTCGCAATGTACCAGTGGCCATGAAAGCAGCTACAAAGGCTCAGCTTGACAAATACGAAGCAGATGGCCACATCATATCCGTCACCGAGCCTACAGACTGGATAAGTAATATGGTTATCGTCAAGAAACCAGACAAGCTACGGATATGCATAGATCCTAAACACCTCAACCGGGCTCTGAGATGTTCACATTACATTATGCCCACGTTGGAGGATGTTCTTTACAAGCACCCAAAGGCCAGAGTCTTCACGCTCGTGGACGCCAGAGATGCCTTCCTGCAGTGCAAGCTTGACGAGCCCAGCACCTACATGACCACCTTTTGGACACCCTGGGGCAGGAAGAGGTGGTTGAAGCTCCCGTTTGGTGTCTCCGTGGCTCCAGAGGTGTATCAGCGGAAACAGCACGAGCTGTTGATGGGACTCAGCGGCGTGGAACCCATAGCAGATGACATCCTCGTAGTGGGCTGTGGGGACAGTGATGAGGAGGCAGAATGTGACCATGACGCCAAGCTGCTGGCCCTGATGGTCAGATGCAGACAGGTCAAGCTAAGGCTAAGCATAAAAAAGCTTCAGTTTAAAGTGCCAGAGGTTCGCTTTCATGGGCACATCTTGTCCTCCACCGGATTGAAGGCGGATCCAGAAAAAGTGAAGGCTGTCTTGGATATGCCCCACCCATCTGACGTGAAGGCAGTGCAGCGCTTTGTCGGATTCGTCACCTACCTGGCCAAGTTCCTACCGCGGCTCTCTGAAGTGTGTGAACCACTAAGGAGGCTCATGGACAAGGACACCATCTGGCATTGGCTCCCAAAACATGACACAGCGGTGAGGGAAATAAAACAACTGGTCACCCAGACACCTGTACTGCGATACTACGATGTGTCAAAACCTGTCACGATTCAGAGTGACTCAAGCCAGTATGGACTGGGCTGTTGCCTCATGCAAGAAGGCCAGCCTGTGGCATTCGCCTCTAGGGCACTCACTCCAACAGAGCAGAACTATGCCCAGATAGAGAAGGAGTGCCTCAGCATTGTATTTGCATGCCAACGCTTCCACCACTACCTGTACGGGCGTGACAATATTACCGCAGAGACAGATCACAAGCCCCTTATTGCTATATTCAGCAAGCCACTCCTGAATGCCCCGAAACGACTGCAGAGCATGCTACTGGCCCTACAAAACTACAACCTCAAGGTGGTGTATAAGCCAGGGCCAGAGATGTATGTGAGTGACACGCTCAGCAGGGCTACTGCATCAGGCACTCACACACGCTCCATGCATGAACAACACGCAGTGTGCAGCTTACAAACAGAGCAAGTGGATGTTGAACACATCAACCAGGCTGACTACCTCAATGTTACGGACCAGCGCCTTATACAAATCAGACAGCACACAGACAGGGACGAGCAACTCCAGGCATTGAGGTCTGTGATTCTGATGGGCTGGCCCGACTGCAAGGAAGAAACTGCTTTAGCCACCAGAGAATATTGGCCAGTCAAAGAAGAGCTCAGTGTTCAAAACGGAGTAATATTCAAGGGTCAGAGAGTCGTTATTCCCCGGTCTCTGCGCCCTGAGATGTTGGCGCGCGTGCACTCAAGTCACATAGGAGGTGAGGCCTGTTACAGACAAGCACGTGACACACTGTATTGGCCAGGAATGCAGAGTGAAATCAAAGACTATGTCAGTAAATGCACAATCTGCAATGAATATGCCATTGAGCAACAGAGAGAGAGACGATGATGTCCCACGAGCTACCAATGCGCCCCTGGCAGATAGTAAGTCTAGATCTCTTCCAGCACAGTGGCAAAGACTTTCTGCTGGTAGTTGATCATTACTCAGACTTCTGGGAGATTGACCTCCTCCCCGACCTCTCAGCAGAGACAACGATCAAACGCTGCAAGGCTCAGTTTGCCCGCTATGGCCAGCCAGATAGGGTAATTTCAGATAATGGACCCCAATTCTCCGGATGTGAGTTCCGAAAATTTGCTGCAGAATGGGAATTCGAGCACGTCACTTCATCACCACGACACCCAAAAGCTAATGGGAAGGCTGAGTCGGCAGTCAAAATTGCAAAGAACCTCTGCAAAAAAGCTCTGTGAGAGGGCAAAGATGCCTGGAAAGCAATCCTGCAATGGCGCAATACCCCGACAGAAGGCATGGATAGCAGCCCGGCCCAGCGCCTCATGGCACGGCGTTTAAAAGCAGCTCTGCCAGTAGCAAGCACTCTCCTGGAGCCATGTGTGGTGACAGACGTGCTGGTGAAGCTACGTCACAGAAGACAGGTCTCCAAGTTCATCTACGACAAATCAGCAAAAGACTTACCTGAGCTCAGGGTGGGTGAAACGGTGCGAATGAAGCCACTACCAGGGGACCGGACGGGCCTCTGGAGACTCGGATCCTGTGTACAGAAAGTGGCACCACGCTCCTACTTGGTCGAAGTGAATGGATCACTGTACCGTCGTAACAGGGTTGACCTTCGGATTGCTGAGCCAGCATCTACTCAGAATTCGGATGGTCATAGGGGTCGCATGACAAAAGACGGAACCCCAGCAAGTCACATGGGGCCTGAGGCACTGGGCGAAGAGCCAGGGGATCACAGGTCGGCCACTCCCTCGCCCATCAATACTCCCCTTAGACAGTCAGGTGACACGCCTGTGCGGGAGCCCGCAGTCCACGCAGACAAGCCCCCTGTCTTTTCACGCTGCGGGCGTCTGTCCCAGCCACCAAAAAGACTTAATCTGTAGGTTTCCCATTAGGGATTGTTGACAGACAGAGATAAACGTGAAGAGAGTATCAAAATGTGTTAAGTGGTTAATAAAAAATAAATAATAATAATAATAATACTTAACTGTTCATGTTGGAAATTACTACTAGGTTTGTTTTGTTAGTGAATTGACAGCTCCTGTTCTATTTTATAAAAGGGAAGATGTTATGGGTGTAAGATGGCACATTGATGCCATCTGTTGGTAAATGTTCATTACTGCAACTCCAGTGTTTTACCGGTGTACTTGAGATACCCGGATG